TATGATCTACTTCTTTGTCCTCCCCCGTCCCCTCTCCCTTGATCCCAGGCAAATGGTCCAGTCTCTTTCCTGTGACAGTTCTTGTCCTTTCTGGTGACTCATTCAACCTGTTAAGCCATCAGAATCTACTTGAGGAGTGCCTGACCTGGCATAAGATAAGCAGTGGAAGTATTTACTTCCCAGCTTCCCATATGTATGTAACTGGGGACACAAAGCCTGCACGTAATGAAACTACATCAAGTGACCATTCACAAAACATTTAATAATGTCAGTGATACAAAATGCCTCTGATCTCCAATTTACTGTCATACTAACAGTACCCTCTTCAAGCTCAAAAGGTCACCACAAACAGGGATGTGTGAAAGGGAGGATTAACTAATGAATGTTACAGCTTTGGTTAGCAATCTGTATAATTGTTCTGTTGCCTTTAACTAGGTATGGGAAAATATACCACTGCTTTTTTTTTTCTTTTTCTGCTAACTGATAACACTTTTATTAGAGAATCTTGTAATCTTTGAATTTTTATAGTGTTTAAAACCGATGGCATTATGTGAAATTAAGAATTGTCATCTTGCAAGTGTGCTTGACAGAAACAGGGAAATTCACAGCAGAAACAGCAATCACCATTCAGGTATATTTGCACTGCAGGTGGACTCAAGGTGATTCAGTAACTCAGTTTACTCAATGACTCACTTTATCTTAGTTGGTATCTGCCAGAGTGAGTAAGTAAGTACTCTACTCCAGGCAATTTATTGTCAAAAGTCTCTGCCTTCTGCCATGTATGTACCCATATTATCATATCCTTAGTCTAGGGATTTAGGATGCCATTTAATTGGAAAGTATCTTACATACAGAGGAAATTAATAAGGTTTTGTCCTAATTTCCTGTGATAAAAAATATTAGAGAAGAATAGGAACTGTATTATTTTGCCTATGTTTCAACTCCAAAAGGATCTCACAAGAAAACAGTAAATTTCTATTTCATAGCATTTGATGTGAATTTACATAAAATATAAGTAAAAAAAATCAAAATCAATTTCTTGAGAGCTGCACCAAGTTTCAGATCTCTGAAGTCTAGTAAAGACTGGCATTCCACAATCTTACAATCTACTATTCTGATTCTGATAAAAACCACTTCAGCATCAAAGCTATCAGTTCCTGCGTCTCATATCAATGGAAAGGCAAACATAATCTGATTCCAAGGCTAAGATTAGTAATAGCCACATAGGAGATGAAAAAAAGCTTCACCATACCTACAAAGCAGAAAAAAAAAATTCATGAAGTACTTACTAAGACACTGTTGTCTGACCAAGCAGTTAAAGACAATTGACTTTAAAATGCAATTCTACGGCAATGAAATGAACTCACCTTCAAGCAGATGGGGTAGGGAGGGCTAAAATCAGAAGGTAAAAGATACAATTTAAAAAAAAATGTATCCGAAAATACTACCTGCACACCCTACACAACATGATAAGAATTGTGGTTAGTTCTAGCTGTGCACTGTGTTGAGTCTATTTCCTTTACAGGAATTTCCTCTACCTCACAGTCAGCATCCCTTCCTTTCTCAGTTTAGTTGCATTAGGTTTGAAATTTCCGGATCACTTTCTTGTAAAAAGAGCAGGGGAAAAACCTCCTAGTAAAAGATCAAAGCCTCTCAGTTTCTAAAATCCTCTATTTGCATTGTGTACAAAAATGTGTTGGATTTTTTAGTTTGTTTAATTTAAGAGGAGAAAGGGTAAAAGTTTTTCTTTTTTTTTTCCCCTCATATGCTATATTAAGATGGTTCAAAAAATCTGTAATATCTGAAAACTACAAGATTATTCCAATATGGAATAATATTCACTCTGAGAGTCAATGTCTCCTTAGCCTTAATGCCCCCAGCTACCTTCTACACCCACTGCATGTGGGTGCTATAATGGGGCCCTATTACTGCCTATCTGTGTCCTCCTAGTTAAGCCTCATTAGTTCCCCAAACACAGCTTTGGCAGAAAGAGAAGAGGAGCCCTGATGAATCTGAGCCATCTGTGACTTGCTCCTGGGACAGGCTAGGCAGGCAGAGCACTTCAGCAACACAGTCCACACAGTCCAACCCCTGTCCCAGGCTTCCTACATGGATGTGAAACCCATAAAAGACAGATTGCACAGTGACTCAAACGATATTAAAGCATCTGACAGCACTTTACCATCAGTTCAGACTCCAGCGCTCCCTGTTTCAATAGAGGATATGTAAATTCATGTACATGAGTTTGCACCACGCTCATTTCAAAACAGCAGGACTTGTTTCTTTTCTTGCGTGAAGGTCGCTCTCCTTACTACAGATTTTGTCAATTGCTCAATTTCTTACAAGAAGGTAAAAAAAGCTGTTTATTGCATAATATGGGATTTCAATGTTGCCTCTGTTTTTGTACACATTCCTTTATACAATGACCAGTACTAATGCTTGAGTCTGTTCAGTTCTGGGCATTTGAAGATAGAGAATTTGTATTCTCAGCTTCCACCATGTATTTAGCTCTCTGCTCATTACAGAACAGAGCCCGCTGATGATCAAACTTGGTGTTTGTCCCCTAAAGTCTTTTTAATGTTTGGCCCCAATACAAAATAGACATAAAATACACTTCATTCATTTTAAGTTTTGTTGTACTCTCCAAGTAATAGGCTTATCACATTCAAAAAATTAAGCATACCAGTCGAACTGTTACCTCAGAAATACATCTTAAAAATACATCTTCGAAATAAAATAGAAGCACCAGTCACGTGGAGTTTTGAAAGCCATGCTACCAAAAGACTGAGTCATACTGGTTACCATACTTCTTGTAAATAGCACCAAATATTTGGCTAAGCCTCTGCTCCAATTCACACTTTTCTAAAAGTAATATAGATGTTAAAAAAGTAGCCTCACACACTTGTACTTCCCAGGTTCATATTTACCCTTGGCTGCTTGACAAAGCGTGAAAAGGAAAGGGTAAAGGACCAACCTAGAATATCCACCCTGTTTCTTCTCTGTCCCCTCCCTCTCCTTCCCCTCCCTCACTTGCCCTCCCACTCTGCTAGAATTTAGCATATTTTACACTATAGCTCCAGAAAACTGTGCCTCCTCATCCCTGTGGAAAGTCAATGTCAGGGTCCTTATCTTACCTCGTCCATCTCACTTCTGCTCAAGTGGGAAAAATGTACCGTCTCAGTGTGTATGCAGTGTAGTCTTACAGTGCTGGGAGTATTACATCTCTTTAGTGTTCTGGTACTATTCTGGCACTATTCTGGTTTGACACATTTACACATCACCTCCTTCTCTGCCCAGTATGGTTAACACCTAGTGGGTAAGAAATTTTCCTCTCTGATTATCTTCTACACCGAGTTGGTGGTGCTGGTTCTGCTGTTACAGGAAGTGTATGAACAACTATGATTCACAAACCCTATGCATTTATAGGCCCTTATAGAGTACTACCCTATAGTACCAACACCATATACAACAGTCCCAACCCTTTCCTAGATTTATGTTAAAACTATCAACAGACAAGACTTCTTTGATACTAGTTTTTTCTTCTACCCTGTATTGTGTGCAGTAGAAAGTGGTCAACCAGGAAAACTAAAAAAATGCAGACACAGACTATGTTCTCACAGCCAGTTACTCTGTTGTGGTACGTGCTAGAGAGACAAGAATCTTCAAGACTGGTGACTTACAACAGCTGCCTTCTCACTGATCCCATCTGTGTCCTCCTCAGGGAAATTAAATATTTCAATAGGTTGTTTGGATTTGGCTTTGTTTAAATTGTTCTTCACTACAAATGAGACATTCATTGCTTGTGGAGAGCTGGTCTAACCACAGTCTTGCTTTTTCCTGCCCTTTTTTTTTTAATACTCAAAGCTTGATACTTACTTGTGGTGGTGCATCCTTCCCTCCCCTCCCTCCACCTCACCCCTCTGGCCACACTATGATCTGACAAATGCTCGTTAGGCCTTGGCCTTGATGAAGCACCTGGACTAAGCTCCCCCTGAGCTTATTAGAAACCCTGTCTGTTCACAGCAACCAGTGCTCCTGTTTTTTAACTAACAGCCTTGGAAACTCCTTGCCTGAATAATACAAGTGAAATAACACTTTCATTATCAAACTTTCAAAGAAAATTTCTGACCCAAATTGTGACCAGGATGGAAAATTACTTTGATCTCTCCTGGACTGCAGTGGGCTGTCACCAGCAATCTCACTAAGAGTGGTGCCTCTCAGAGACAGTCATCTCGCACATTCACCACACTTGGAGGACCATCACCAAACAGCAACGGATCCTGGGCTGATAATCCTTCTGCTCGAGGCTCAACCCTTTGTTGAGAAGATGTAAACTCATCTGACATGAGTACTTCTCTGAAGTACTGGGAAATTTTTCATGTACATACTTCTCTAAGTCTGTGCACACGTGAGTGTGAATATTCTATAGCAAATGTAGGACGAATGTTGCTCTCCCAGATTCTAAAGTACTTCAGAGTGTAAGTTAGGCCTATAAGTGAGATGTTGTTGTGCTATAGTAAATTTTATATGAATCTTTTGTTAAATTAAGTTATCGATTAAGTGCTGTTAAGTGCTGTTAAACCTTTAGGCCTAAATTGTTTGTCAAGTCTGAGGCTCAGTTTAGCAAAGAGGTCTACCCTGAACCTTGTACCTCAATGGGATGGTTTTCCTTATTCCTTTTTATCTTTATCCTTTCTTATCCTTATGCTTTTCTTGCCCTACCCCCAGTCCCCCAGCCTCCACATATAACATTTTTGGATTTTGGGTTTAGATTGATGTATTTTAGGTTCTAGTCTGATTTTTCTTTGTCTGCTTTACCCATCTAGCAAATAGTAGACTGAACCTTGCCAACAAACTTTGTCACACTTTCACTTTTATATTAAACCTGCTTTTGCTAATATACTGGCCAATGATTCTTTAAGTGACCTTAAAACACTCATTCACAACATTACTTCTGTCTAACTGCAGCAAAAATGGAAGCCACAGAGTGGAGAGGGAGAAATAAAGTTTTATTACGTGAAAAAATGATACAAAAAACCTCAATATAAATCACGGACATGACCCATTACCTCAAATCAACTATCATGTGAATTCACTTCGACATCGACATACACATGAGCAGGCAAAACATCACAACTATAGTCTATAAAAGTAGCATTAACAGTTCCTTTTCTCTATGGACTGGTAAACAGAAAGCAGGTATTTCCAAGCCCTGATTAATGTCAGTAATTCAGGATATTGGAGCAATAAGAACAACATCTGGTGTTAGTATGAGTATGCATATCCTTATTTATTTCCCTTGTCTCCCTTTACCACTGCACAGGCAGCAGTGAGAATCAGCTATAGAGATTAAATTACTATGTCACGATACCTTTCTGTGCAAAAAAGTTTCCCCTTTTACAGATGTTGAGTAGTTCAACATACATCTGCTTTGCTGGCATTCAAACAACTTTGGAGTTAATGCCATTTAGCTTTCAACCTCCCTTATGTACAGTCCTCCGTTATTGTGTAAAATCTCAGGATAAATTCTGTATGGTGTCACAGGCTTCAGGATACAGGTTCATGAGGTGTAGCAAGTATATGCAGTCACATCATCTCTCCAAGCTGAGGTGAAGGGGAAATTCAAGCTCAGTTTCTAGTAGCTGATTCTCATAGAGGGTAGACTCAGTCCAGCACTTTTCACAAGCCATGTGCACTATGCATATTCACATGCGTAGTATAACACATTAGACCTTTAATTGCTTATATCTCATCTCCGTCCTCTCTCTGCCAAAATGAGCATTTACATTCTTCTCAGTGAAATAGGATGTAAAGTCTTTACCATTTCTCCAAATCATTCCCACTTGGCTTGTCTATACCATGTACAGCTCACTAGCAAATATTGTTAACCCATCCAAATCTGCCCTATTATTTCTAATCTCCCTGTTCTCCGTTTTCATTTGTTTTTTCTGCTTGACATTGCCCAAAGCCTGCATGCCAAACTCTGTAGGGCAGAGCTGTTCGGGTCTATTTCCAATCAGGATCCTTAGAAAATACCAAAATACAAAACAAAGAGCATCTAAGTAAAAATAAGATATTGCAAATACTAATATATTTATTAAGGGCCTCAAAAAATATGCAAGTAAAACTATTATCGTTCTACATTACGGAAAAATGTGAAATAAAAATGTTTTTCATTGTGTTTTGTGCCATGTGGTAAGTTCTAAGCAGAATGAAACTTCTGCTCCCTGTGCAGATTGCTGAGGAAACTCCCTAGGACAGTATCTAGCACTGGGATTAACACAATCCTCATCACTGTAAAAGCTTTTACATTCTTCTACATTCTTCTCAAATGTCAGAGATGGCCTCTTATGAACACTATTTTCCAAAATATAATTTAGTTTTATTAGCAGAATTTCCCGTTTTCTGCAACATCTTCTGTCGCCAGACTTGTTATATGATGGCATTAAAGTCACAGTCCTCAATCCATGGTTGAGCAGCTTTTGAGCCTAGGTCAAGATTATAGTGCCTTTGGGTATTTATCTTGGTAGGTTTTGCTGGCATCAGGTACCGAAGGTTCTTCCAAAATCTGGAATTCACAGGAAGAGATTTATCCTTCTTCCACTTCACAACCCTCTTTGATGGTAAAAGAGACAGTGATTCGGGCAAGAAACTGTAGTCACTTATAGGCATATATTCAATTAATATGATTTTAGTTTTTCTTTCAACGAGGGCTTTATGCAGTCCACTCTCAAGTTCGTATATGGCTCTGTCAGAAACATAGTTCTGGCTCAGTATAATGATTAATCTTCGGCTTTTATCAATGAATGAATGGATATCGTCAACAGCTGCTGCAAATTAAAGATAAATATGTTGTTAAATTAAATGGAAAGAATAGGCAGTGAATTGACTTTTTCTTTAACGTTCACATCTGTACCAAAAATGTTCCTCTTATAAAGTGATAGCATGTGAACATCCTGTCCTTATGAAGTGATTAATATATATTACATATTAAGAGTCTGTAAAAACAAACTCAGGTACAGCCAAAACTTTTTTTCCAGACCAGACAAAACCTATTTATAATCGCCATCTACTCTAGAGAGCTGTCTGGCAGTTGTCACATGGACAGAAGGTGACAGCAAAATTTAACTTTCTCCCATCCAGATATCTCTGCTCTTTCATCAGAGATATTACTGGAGTGATTTCACAGAAACCCACCAACAGCAACCTCTCTCCAAATATCCAGGACCCTTCAGGTTACACCTTTCTTTATGACACCAAACACCCAAATCTATTGCCAGTAATCCAAGGTTGATAAGACTGGCATGTAATGACAGAATGAGTTCCAACTGTGTTTTATATTAATGACTTTTGGCATGAAAATTGAGGAATGAAAGCAAACAGTGATACCCTTTAAAAACCTGATGCAATTTTAATGCACAGTTTCCAGTGCTTGTTTCAACACCATGGAACAAAGTCCACAAAGACCAGAGATCTAGAAAACATGCCTTGTAGGGAAAGGCAAAGCAAACTGCACAAGTACCCTAAAGAAGAGAAAACTGTGGGGAAAAGGAGACTGACAAGGGTATTGAAACATCAAAGGCTCCTGTAAACAGTAGGAAACATTCCATTTTACATGTTAAAAATGGATCAGACCAGAGAAAAGGAAATAAGCTAAAAGTATTGAAGGAATCAGACTGCACACTTCAGTAAACCTTTTTTGAACACTTAGAGAGAAATAACAAGTAAAAATAATAATTAAAAAAAAAAAGGCTTAGGAGATCTGTGGCACTTCTCAGGTTAGAAAAATATTTCAGGAATGGATATGAGGAGACGAGATCCTGCCTAGTGAAGGAGGCTAACTGAACTTATTATTCCATGGTTTTAATAATGAAATCCTAACCCTCAACTAGATCTTTGGACTAAATAGAAACTCCTAGTATCTTTTTTCCAAGCATCTGCAAAAGGCAGATGTCAGATCTATCCACAGGCCATGTAGAGAAACAAAATTCCATGTTCTCATTTCTATTCTGTTATGGCACCCATTACATTCAGAAAATGGTTTCAACTACCAAACTGAAGATACAGCAAACATACAAGTTACCTAAGAGTAACTAGTACCAGAGATTCCAGCTGCTCTGTGCAATAATGTGAGTACATTCACTGGCCCTCAGCAAAAGACAGTGCAAAAGCACTATTATTGGGAAAAATCTGACATCATCTGTGTTTTCAGCTTCCTCCGTGTTCTTTTTCATCTTTTCATCTTAGTTCCTTTTAATTAAAGACATATATGTGTCTGTGTCTCTGTGTGTTTAAGTGTATATGAATTCATAAATATATCCATCAAATATGTAAAATGTGTGCAAACTTTGCATGCCCCCAATCTAAATTAAATGAAAAATGTATCCTTTCAATGCACAACACATTTGACACAATTCCTTCTAATTACAGACTTCTACCTTTCTGTCAAAATGATGAGCCTATTTAATGACAAGAATTTTCAATACACTTACCTCCTCCAGGGAATACATCCCTCTCAAATATACATAACTTGTACCCAAAGTTTTCTTCTAATATCATGGGTAATACCTTCAAGGCAAATTCTCTCTCTTCTTCAATTGAAGAAACACAGTCTTTCAGGTAAGACACAAATGCATCATACTCTTTTCCATCTGAAAAGAAAATGACAATTGTTGTCTTGTTAACAACCATCAGAAATCCAGTGTCTGATGGATCATTCTGGTTTTCAAAATTATTGTCTAAGTAGCAAAACATCTAGAAACTCCTGCTCTTTCTTTTGATACCCTGAACAGTCTTCAATCACTCTTCATCAGATTCAAAAGAAGTCCCAAATTAATTTAAATTTGATACAAAAGATTCTGATTGCATTTGGCAAATACTTGAAAATAACATTTCTTTTCCACAGTAAAGTGTTTTGAAATAAAATTTGATTAATTTAACCAGTTAAAGTCACATCTGTGATGATGAAGAAATGAAGGGAAGCAAAAAATGTATCTGTAACCTGATAAAATTATTATTTAAGACATATTGCAGATTTCCACATTTATTTTACTTTTTTTTTAAAATATCAAGTAATTCTGTTGAATGGGTACTGGCAAAAGAAAATAAATCAGTTACTCTTGTAACTAAATGTTATACCTAAAAGTTGTAAGAGTATGCCATGTCTGGTCATGCTTTGGGGAGTAATTTACTAACACAAAATCAAAGACCAATCCAGAGGCCAAGTCTAGCACACTGAGCGATCATGAACCTTGCCACAAAACAACTATCTGGATCGATACAGAGGCACACCAAGGAAGGTTAGGAAAATCAGGTCCATACATACAGCAAGTTTTTTCACCACAATTTTCAGAAAAATTATTCCCAAAATTGGTTAACTGTCAGGCTTGCTTCCTGTGAAGGCCACAGTGATGCTGCTTGGTAAGATCCTGCTCTCCTTAAGTGCATGTAATGACAAACCTATAAACATTGCAATGGCCCCTGCAGTCAAGGAAGCATTTTAACCTTCACCTCACTGATCAGCATCAGTGAGGAGAAAACAACTTTCTGTCAGTCTGCCTGGCTGACAACTCCAGAGTGCTCATCCTCTTCACAGATAGATAACTGAAAACCTCTCCACCTTTATATACTTTTGTGATGAATAATATGGCAGAACAGAGTTCATCTGCATCTAACCACATCCCTTCTACTACCTGCACTAGAGGCAGCTTCTTCACTGTGTTTATCTGCTGTTATTGCCACAGGTGTATAACAAACACACTTCAGCATCCGATCATCAAGTTCTCTTTTATATATTCTTTGCTGTTTCTACTCACAAAACTCCTGGATGTAAGATTAATTTTTTTGTCTTCCTCAGAGATTATTGTTTTATAAAGCCTTCCAGGAACTATTTTTTAATCAATGTACTTATTTCAATGTCAGCATTAGCAAGGTCATACCTCCAGCAGTGTCATCTCTTCTGCATATATTCCTGTAAAATAGAACTAAGTCCACCCTAAACATCACACAAACAAACACTGCAGCTACAGCAACAAACGGAAATAGTAGAGCAAGGACCATTCCAGTTGTAAATATGTGCACAGGCAGATCTTGGGTGCTCCCTGTAAAACAGAAACCCAGGAAATTACAGCCTTATCAAACAGTATTATATGACAAAATTACTGTATCCAATATTGATGGCACCTTAAAAACACCTCAAAAAATTAAAATGTTGATGTAAATCCTTTCCTGCCAATAATTCAAGCATATATGCATGCTACTTGTACTGAGATGGAGAAAAACTACAGAATTACTCTAAAAACAGGAGAAACAGCCTTGCACACATTCACACACATAAATGAACTGTATGTCAGATCAAGACTGACACTACAGATCTTCATAGATGTACAGTATCCCAAACTGGTGGTCACCCACTTTTGTGATGAGCTTCCTCCAGGTTCTTTATTATTTCCTGTTATTATCTACCTTTCACCCCTCTCTCAGTCCATGCATAACAGCCCTTTATGTCCTCTTTAATCTCTTTGGCCAATTTTTTTTTTCTTGTCTCTAGTCTCTTTCAGGCTTTTCTTTTTCTTAATTATTGTTATTATGTTATCTTTGGGGCTTTTTTAATTTCAAACATAGAATTTTAACACTTAACTTTGTGAAGTTTTGAAGAAGGCACTGTCAAGTTATGCTCATTGCAGTCTGTATTTCTTTTGCTTTATTATATGCATCATCTTTTGACAAGTCTATTTTCACATATTTCCTTCCAGTAAAACTTGGAAAGGCCTGATAGAGATAGAAAACAAGAAGAGAATGCCCATTTGTGAGGAATTTCCAGGTTATATGGACTATAAATGTGAAGTCCTACTTCACGTTAAGGTTAGCTTTCCATAGCTAGAAGTAAAGAATTCCTGACAAGAGAGAAACCACCAGCATGTTTCAGGCATTATCTGCAATATAAAAGATTGACCTTTCTGGGGCAGGAGGGCCTGAGGAGAAAGGGGAGCACCAAAAAAATGAACAAAAAACAACACATACAAAACCCCAACCAAAACCTCAGATTTTAATTTTAGGAAGGGATGCTTAATAAACAAAGCATTCCAGACAGAAGATTGAGGGCTGCACCAAGTTTGGGTGTTTAATTCCTGTGATCCCACAATCTGATGAGTAGGAGAGGACAGGTGAATGCTTTTTCATGGGATCTTAACAACATGCTGCCCAGGGATCTGTCCCCAGCTGTGTCCACAGCATCAGCAGTTAAGACTATGGAACCCAGACACAGCTGCTCTAGCTACTCCTTCTGCCCATTTCAGAGCAGGAGGAATCACCCAGGGTGTTGTTAGGCCCAGTACTAGATGGCCCAGGGACTTTATAAGCAGACAGACATATTTGGAGAGATGTTCTGAAATGAGTAGCCTGCCCTCAGGATTGAGAAGGCTGCCATGATTAATAATTAAGTATGAGAAGTATGATTTATAGATTACGTCATACCTTTCTTCAGTTTTACTATTTTTATCTGTGTGCTTTCATCAGCTTGCAACATGCAGGTGAAATTATGACGCATGTCCTCATCTGTTACTTTTTTAATCCGGAGTAGCCTTGTGACATAAAACTTGTTTCCCAACCTGCAAGGAGGAATGGTGTTATCAACACTATCTGTACAGAAATATACAACCACCAGAGAGGCAGATTTAGAGGAAAGGGTTCTAAAAAAATCCCCTCAGACTACAGTTTTACTGAATTTGCAGTTGCACAAAGTGCAGGACATTATCCCATACAAAGTACAGCATTTTCAGGAAACCTACTGTAATTTTTTGAACTCTTCTTCACATATTGAAGGTTCATTCTCAGGGATACCTGTGCATTGTTCTGGAAACGTCTGGTTAATTAACCAGTAGAGGCTGGCATCTTCTTGCATATAATAACCCAAGAAACCTGTGCAATTGAGTATCTCTTCTTTACCTAAAAAAAAGTATAACATGAGAAGACCTAGTTATAAGTAGTATTCACGTTCACAGTGCAGTAAAATGTCAGCTTTCCAGCCAACATCTCCCATGAGCTGTGCTCTCTTATGGATTTCATATTCCCTGCTCAGTGTTTTATACGTGTTCTGTTGCACCCTGTTGCAGAGTGACAGTCATCCATTGCTTTCTCTCAGATAAATCATCACAGCCAGCTGAGTTTAAATAAACCAGAGTATTTTAGGCTTTAGAGAACTAAAGGGAGTTGGCCTTGATGATCCTTGTGGGTCCCTTCCAACTCAAGATATTCTATGATTCTGTGTTCTGCAGACAGAGAACAGGAGAGGACAACATATCACCAGTGCTCCAAGACCATGTAAAAGTAAGTAACTGGTAAGGGGAATTACAACCAATTGATTGTAATAAGTTAACTACATATGACTACTCAATAAAGCCAAAGCCCCTGCTGAACTCTCACAGAACAAGTTCTCATCCCATACCTGGAAATTCCTGCATATGTGAACAAGTCATTTACTCAGTCAGTTACTTGTCCAATTCAAAGCACTGACTGGAAGTGGCAGAAACCACCCCATAAAGTTCAGTTATTTTTAAGAAAAGGACAACTTGGAAAAATAAAGGCAGAAGATTGCAGCTCTGGTGCAATGTGAGATTTTTTAAACACTGTCATGGGAAGCTTGACCTGAAGTTAAGACCATCAGCTGCAACTCTGCACCACCATTTCTAGTCTATGCCAGCATCATTTCCAGAGAACACATCCAGAATGCCCAGCCTGCCCAGCAATTCTCCAAGGGCACATATAAGTTGACTTCTCAAGATTTATTAGAGTGGATGGTTCCAGAATCTTCAAAGCAGGACCCAGATGAAAATCTGGCCATTTTAGATTCAGACCTTAGAAATCCAAACCACATTTGCACAGACTGAAACATAGAGCTAACATTCCAGTATCATCCACCTTGCAACTCTAGCTTTTCCAGCTATTTTTGGTGAGATTATAGAACACCATCTAGACAACGACAGGTTATAAAGATCCTGGACCAAGCTCATCCAGAATTCCCTCCACTCTCTGCCATGCCATCTGTCTCATAACTCAGCGGGTAGTTCAATGACCTTATCAATGACCTTATCAAGGCAGATAAGGGATGGTAGTTCATAATCATTTGATGCTGAATCCTGCTAACTTCTAAGGGTTGGGACAAGCACAGTAATGAGGAAGAAATGTGCAGGAAGGGTGTACTGGGAGGTTGGAAGTCATGAGGCATCATAGGATTGGAGTACTACCATTGAAAAAAAGACCTATCAAGCAACATTTGTAAGAAAGAAGGAAAATTAGCATTTGAGGTCCTAGATGAGCAAATGAGATACAGGTATGAGCCACAGAGGAGGTAACATTTAGAAGGGAAGGATTAGGTAATGGAATGGGAGAAGCCCTCAGGCACAGGAGAGGTAAAAGAGAGGTAAATTTCTGGTTCTAAAAATTAATTACAGCCTCAATCACAGAATCCTGGATCCTGTCTGAGATTGTGTGAAGCCTGCAGATCATGTTATCTAACCTACTCCCAGCTAGAAGAACAGGTAAGATCTCTTGACAATATAAAAAATTCTTTGAAGCAGTGACAGATGTTCATGTCCACATTACCCGGACTGTCACCCCCTCACACTTCTCATTTCCCTGAAGAATAACATCCTCAACTGTGTCAGGTAGCAAGGAGATTTCTCACTATTGCTGTTCACTGAACAAACCATACATCTTTTACACATGGCTTCACAGGGTTTGCTATCTACAAAAGAAAGCCACAGAGGGATGATTTATCATGGTCACCACTTTCTCTTGCTGCTGTAGAAGGTACATTTAGTGTTCTGGTATATCAATCATGGAATACACTAGGCAAAACATAACCAGCTGTGAAGTTAGATGAGATACAGGAGGGTGCACAGACAATTCTTAGTTGATTACACTTAACCAGACCATCAACCATAAAGAGATCAGAACAAAAGCATGTATGTGCAGTGGCTACCACAAAGATTCTCGTACTAATTTCATACCTATTTCTGTTTCAATTTCTTCATGGGGTCCAATTATCTCCAAAGTTACAGCCTCTGGTGCATCTAAAATAGAAATATTGCTATTGAAGTAATAGCACACACACACACTGTTCCACAGTATAAATTACGCACTTGCACTATTTCTAAAACTAATAGCATACATTTCATTTAATTCAAAGAACAATATATGGACTCTGGTGTTACTAAATACTTTAAAACACAGTATGACGTTGAATTTTTTCACATACATATATATACAGTGCACAATTTAAAATGGTTGGAAAGGTTCTTCTGCAAAACTATTAGTAATTTTGTATGACTTACTTACAGCAGTTATTTTGAAGAAAAAATAAAACTGCAAGAAAAACATACTAAATACATCTTCCAAAATATGTAATATGTCATCTTAACTTCTGCTTTTTTACTTCTCAAATTATTGTGAAATAGTTTGGATTACCAGATTTGTTTCCCCTTGTATATACTTATCAAATGAGAACTGCAATAAAAAATCTCCATTATAAAGTGAATCAAAAAGTATGCTTCCAAATTTTAGAAAGCTTTCTTACCTTCTTCTACTACCAATTTAATTGTGTTTGTGCTGTGATATATCTTTCCTTCATGACTGATTAAAATTTTACAGGTATATATCCCAGAGTGCTGTGCTGTTAAGGTTCCAAAATGCAGTTCCCTCTCTGTTTCATGTTCATAATTCTTACAGTCCTGCATGAATAAAACCAGAAAACACTACTCTGTAGCCCAAATGCATTCAAAACCTTAAAGAAATTAAAAACTGCTTTTGAAACAAAGTTCAAAAACTTTTGACCATTTAACTCATTAGAAGCTGGGAGCACTGCAATTTCAAATAAGCATCTGAGTATAAAAATACTGTACTGGGAACTCAAAGGCACTCTTTTTTCTTTTCTTTTTTTTTTTTTTTTTTTTTTTTTTTTTTTTTCAAAATGATGGCTTGGGTCTGTAGGTGTCATCTGCTTGTGGCCCAAAGTTGTCTAGTTTATGAGGAGGTTTCAGGTTAAAACACCTCAACAATAGGGAAAGTAACCATCTCAGAGGGTGACAGGAATTGGACTCACATGTGTTTACTTTCTCTATTCCTGAAAAAAAAACTATAGTCTATGTTTTTTTTTAATTCACAGCACATGGTAACTGAAATGTTCTGGTCTGAATTACCTTAGATCAAAGGGGAAATGATCACTGATAGAAATTGTCCAAGAAACATGTTTTTCTGAATGCATGTTTACTAGCAGGCTCTTGCTCAAAAGGCATGTGTGACCACCCCTGTTTTATCTCAGCTTAGGGAGTGATAGGAAGACTGAAAATTTTCACCCAATCAAGTGCTAAAGGACATTTAGGTGAAGGATGGCTGCTTCATCTGTCTCACACAGTATTAGGCATTAAAATATTAAGCACTAGTATACTCAGTTTAGCCATGAGAGAGACCAGTCTGGGGTATGGTCCTTTATTGAGGAAGCATTACAACCTGTAGCACTATCCATGAACGGTCCCATCCTCCCAGGCCCCAAAGAACAAGAAAACAGGGCCATAGCTCTTTCTTGCCAGGCTACTCCAGATGCCCCTACTTAAGCAATCAAAATCTCTTCCTGAAACTGATTCAACCTGCAGTGAACAGGGTCTGTTACTCCAACCAGGAAGCCTGAGAGGAATAAGGAGCACTGCTCAAGGTGATAAAACAGGGTGAAAGAAGCTTGTTCAGGGTGCCTCATCCAGTGGTTGAGCACAACAGCCAACAGTTATAGATGCTTACGCAATTATCAGCTATGCTCTGACAAAAGCTGGCAGAGAGAATACGGATGATTTGCCTAAAATGAACAGAACTGGATCAGTTACACACTTACAAAAAGTGTTCAGAAACAGGAAAAGTAAAAAGTTTGCAGTTATTCTACAAGTACATGCCAACTATAAAACTAATATCTTGGCACCTCATTAAGCGTGAGTATAATATCTCTATCAGCAAAGCAGCAGCTGGCTAAACCAGGTGCTGTCTAAATCAGCAAACAGACATACACATCAGATCTTTTACCATTATAAACTACCAGTTTAATAACTTCTGAAGAAAGTACAGTTTTCTAATAAATCTGAGAGGAGAGAAAAAATTTGTTTCGTGTATTTGTCTGAAGTTTTTGTCCCTAATCACCTAAGAAATAAAAGCTTTACAGTGTTTGTAGATGCTTCTAAAAATTTGCTTGCAATTAATTTTTCCTGCAATCAGATATTTTGTTTCTATAACCAATTATTTGAGTGAAACTGTTTCAGTAATTACCTTGTACCATGTTATGCTGTCATTTTCACTGACAGACAAATCACTGCATTTCAGTGAATGACCAGTTCCAGCATTTTTTATTTCTGTAGTTAAATGATTCTTGTTGAAACAGCTGCTTTCATTTCTTTCAATTACATTCAGGGTCCACTTTTGAATTATGAAATGTTGTTTTCCATTGCTACAAAAAAAAATCAGCAAAATCAGTTCTAGGAGCTTTTTAAAAATGCACCCTAGTGAATTACACACAAAATACAAAATAAATTCTATAATACATCTGTTAGGTGGAAAGTACATCTACACTGACTTAATTATTTATATTCACCATTATTACTTTTCCACCCTCAAGTATGACTTCGTTTAACAAACAAGTTACATAAACTGACCATCACAAAACATTTGACAATACAATTATAACAGAAAAATATACTTCTAAAATATATCAAAAGTGAAACAGGCAACTCTACTATTGTTCACAAAGCAACATTATTCATTGTTTGATACTCTGCGGATAGTCACTGATATTTTGGAAATATTCCTAAACTCCACAAGTCTCATGAATTACAGCATCATTTATGGATTCAAGCATGTCTGCAGAACAAGGCATTTTGGAAAGGATGCATCTCTTTTTGAGTCCTGCACTGATAAAAGATCTGCAGTAGCTCACCACCCCAGATTGACTGGAAGAGTCAGGAACTACCACTTCTACAGCAGTCATCACATCCCATGCAGCATCTACAAACGATCACATGAATATGCTCCAAAAACACCTATTTTGAATATCTAGGAGCTGATCGTTGTCATTCAGATATCAACCAAGTTCTATCCACATATTCCTCGAAAGAATCGTATTACAGCCACGAGTTATTTCACTGTTGGATACGTCCAAATACACGACTACCAAGGGAAAGGAACCTGGAGGACTTTTGACTTAAATTTGGCAAAGTTAGAGCTTAAGAGAAAGCCATATGTTGCTGTCAGTTAATGGGTGAGATTCTGTCAGTTAGTGGGTGAGATTTCACAATTAGCGCATACAGCTCTTATTTGTTTACTGAACAAACAGGGCCTGACAAAGCAAAAGCAGCAATCACAGAGCACTTCCCTCCAATGTCAGTCATATCTTTATAAATATGTTTGAATCCTTCTGCCTCCAAGAAAAGAAAAATAAATTGCTCCCAGAGCTACAACTAGTCAAGAATCATTTCAATGAGAAGGGCCAAGAAGATAAAGCAGTTGGAAAGGAGAAGCATCCCTGACAAGCATAGCAGCTTAAACACCATTCTTGACTGACATGCCTTTTGATTGTACAAGAATCTTAAGAACTATTAGGACATCATTTATACGATGAATTTAGACCAAGTCTTGGGTTGTTTCTTTTCCAGTTCTTAAGCTTGCCAAACAAATTAATTTATGTATTCTGCTCACCCTTTTCCCTTTATAGCTCTTTCTCAGCCTACACAGGTTCTCCTTGTTCTCTTTACTCGAGATATTCATTACTCATAATTGCAATTGACTCTCTAAACCAAAACAGTGGTTTGGTTTCTCAATCAGTTAACTATGCCATCATAAACAGGAAAAGCCTTACCAAAACTTTTCTATCAGAGATGTGCTCATGTGGGTATTCACAGTGGGTGGGGTTCTTCTCAGCTATTCTTCAACATCATATTTACACATTTAAATGAGAGCTACTAATCACAGTCAGCAGTGGGACCACAGTCAGTAGTCACTTTTTTACAGTGCAGTTTATATGATCTATTTTATATATTCTGTTTAGGACAAGATAATCTGCGCACCAGAAAGGCCTCTCTCTCCCTGACAGTAAAGGCATCTAAGATAAATTTAGGTGTAGACATAAACATTATTTCCAATTAATTCCACTTAGTCTGTGTGTTTCTTCAGGTATCACATTACTAATCTGAATACTGCTGGAGAGGCAATTACAGATCTAGCCACGAAATACATATAATTTTACTGTTTAGATTCAGTAAATGGAAGAAAAGGGTCAATAAGGCCACATGTTCTCCTCAGCACTGTCACTTCACAGAGGCTTTCTTCTGTGATCCTATTTGGTGAAATCATTTCAACAAATATGAGAATTTCACTTGAGCTGGATCAAGATATTCTACCTGATGCCAAAATCTGGCAAGGAGCAGCTCCTTAGAAGGTGTCAAAACCATACCCATGCAAACAAAGATGAATTTGTCTCACAAAATTTCTAGTTTTCTGCCATATATGTGGTTTTCAATCAAAAAAAAAAAAAAAAAGATGCATTTATTTGTATTGTTTAAAGTGCTAGTTGTCAGAATTGTTATATTCTCTCCTGGTTTTTACTTGTTGAGATCCTTTGGTGATTCTTTGTGGGGAACCAAACAGTTTCTGGTTTTTCAATTCCCCCCACCAAACCCACCAAGAAGGAACAACAAAATCTATCATCTTTACTCAGGAGATGATACAGGGAAGCGAAACTCCTTAGAGAATATGAACCAAGTTTACTGGATACATAGACAATTCTAAGTAATTCTTTAGCTATTTCACTGCAACAAGCCAGTGTTATCTCAATATTTCAATCTATTGCAGAAACCATCACTGTACCTTTCAAATTGCAATATTGTGTATTTCCACTGCTTTTAACTGTTCTAAACATACTAAAAAAGTGAGCAATATTAGGATTTTAAAACATTTTGTGTTTATCATGGATCTCTGTACTTTCAGGGCTTTTTTGGGAACCTGTAAGCTTTCTCAGTTTCAAGGTCACCAACACAGCGCAACCTGATGACCTGCTTTTTTGTATTCTGTTTTTCTCTTTGATAACCACAGGATACAGGCTACAAAACCTCACACAAATTAGAAATCCTGCCAAAGATCTGTGACACAGTTTTTCTGCTTACCACTCTCACTACAAGTACCTACGAAATTTTTATTTTCAAGAAAAGTTGCTGAATATGGACACATTCAAACTTACAGGTGATGTCCATTAATTCCTGAATTTATATCCTAAGTCTAGTATACTAACAAACACATGTGAACACATCAACACACAAATATACACACTTCAGGTTTATCTGTAAAACTTCTGAATCTTCCTTAAGTCAAAAATAAGTGGTTAATACACCATAAAAACATTGCTTCATCACTTTCATCTCTTGCTTCTTGCATATTGTCAGTTGTAACATATCAAGGGAAAAAAATCCCTACATTTAATTAGTTTTCAAAATTTGTCAATGCCTTTTCTTGAAAATCTGCAGTATATGTAATTGTCACACTGTTCACTCAAACTGCCTAAACAGTACTCCCATATAGCTTACAAATATCTATCTCTAAATTAAACTGTTGAAAATATAAAAAAGATAAATAAAAATTGGAATACCTGTTTTCAAAACCAGAACTTTAACTCCACTCTGTCATTCTTATTAAAGCTTAAAACACTTCAGTAGTTCACAATAGCCCCTATAGTCACAATTTTTCCCTATAAATAGAGACCACTAAAAGTTCTCCATCTCTGCAGAAAACAGTTTCTCTAATAATCTTTTGTATTTGCTTAAATTTAACTCATTTAATATGCTTGCCATTAGTGAGAACCATCAAATAAACTAAGCCCAAGACTCCATTAAAATCCTATGGAAACAATCCCCTTATGCCTATTGTTCCAGTAGTGAGACCTGTGAAGAGTTCCCACATGAGGACTGCAAGATTCTAGCATGTGCCTTCATTCTGGTCCTAACAGAAAAATGGGTATTTGTCTGGGCCTAACAGACAGCAATTCAGAAAAAAAAAAATTCCATATCAGCGTAAGAAACTCTTTCTTCAAAATAAAAATGCTTTCTTTGAAAACTGAGTTTTAAAATGCAGTGGCATAATATAGTCCTAGAAGACAAGACAAAAAAGCAGAAAACCAAAACTCTTAATTCCATATTAATTATTTGATGCAATCAAAACCTTTCTTCTGAGTTTCTCGCTTAAGCAAATGAGTAAATCAAGACATTTCATAAAGGATTCTGACATTTTTGTGTTTTACAACAAATACTTGTTTTAACAAACTTCATCCTAATAGTTTTCCTTCAGTTCTCTTTCTGTCATCTTCTTCTTCTATATGTAAGGCTATTCCCTCAGTTCTGAGGTTTATACTTTTTCGTTGTAGTTTCTCAGTTCTTGTAATTTACTGTGGATTTACTATCATTACTCCAAGTCCTTAAAGTAATGACAAAACCACAATGACTGTGAATTAAACCTGGGGTTATCATAGTTTTCCTCTCTTCTTTCCTGTCTTTTTCCTCTCTTTTTAAACTCCTTATGACAGTATTGTTACATAGCCTGGCAATTCAGGTATGCTCTCCACCTATCTTTCCCCGTGCCAAGAAAGAGTGTGCATTTTGTGCCACTGGTAAGGTGTTGCCATTAGAGCAAATTTTTATATTTGATAGCTTTTTTCTGAAGTGACCATATAGACAACTGATAAAGGTCATAAATAAAGCCACAATTTAAACCCCAATTCGGATTTGATATGTCAAATACAGATCCATGTCAACAGACAAGTGTCTGTGTCAGGTATTATCGAATATTAACGCCTACACACTGAAACTGAGCATCAGGCTTCAGCTGTGCTGCTTCAGGCAAATGACTGTACTGAATAATACAACAACAATACACAAAATTGCAAGACAAAGTAGACAAACTACCATACTCATCACCCCTTAAGATAATTCTTGCAAGATTGAGTTTGGCATATATGAATATATGAATATTTTTATCAAGCTTTACCCTACAATTAACAATATTTAACAATTCACATACCATGACTTTGTACTTTTAAAAACAAAATCACTAAGATGATAATAATTATGATACCTGGAAAAATAAAATACAAAGTTTTCAGCTTCCAAGCTAATTTGGACATTAACAATTGAAGTCTAGCTTAGAACAGTAAATTATCAAACTTGAGTCTGCAATGCTATTGGAAAAATGTGAATAGCATTTTTCAGTATCCGCAGTCCCACACCCTTCACAAACTAGGAAAGAATCTTAGAAATATTTCTTGGAGGACAGCACCAATCATTACATGCAAAGTAATCTGCTTCAAATTAATCATTGCTTCAGTTGTAAATGCTAAATTATGGTTTTATTGTAAGTCAGTCATAAGAACTCCACGCAGCAAACCTTTGGTTTAGTTCCCTAGTCCTTCAAGATGTTCCAGTGAAGATTACCACCAAATAATGGAGGACTCCTTTTTCTCTTTTTGACTCATGATGCTATATAGCAGTAAGAAATCAAATCCAGTTATTTCACTTGTTCTTTGAAAGGCTCCAAGCGTGTAAAGGTTTGCACAGAAGCTAGAGTTCAGCTATGCCACTCTTTGTTTATTGCTTTACTATACAGATAAATGACTTGGCAGGTCTCATAGTGTGAGATCCACCCAACACTGCAAACAAGAACAAGCCTGGGGAAGAAGACAAGCAAATGTTTCCTTTCACTTGGCAGTGGGCAGAAGGGTTGCCTATCACTCATTTTGTTTAGGTAATTAATCACAAGCCAGCAGAAATGCTACCTGCCTTATCAAAAGGCTTACAGAACATTTAAAAGGCTGCAATTGCTTCTAGTTATTTGTAAGTACTGTAGGTTCACCTTGATGGTTATTGTGCAATGAAGTAGGAAATGACACAACAGTTAATGCAGTTCCCTGCACCTCCTTTGTAGGGATGCCAGTAGCTGTACAAAGGAAGACAATGAAATTATCTTCATCATGGACATGTGCAAAGGCAAGATGTTCACCCACTGGGTTGTGTACCTACCTGTGAGTGACAGAGTAATTCCCAGAGTCACTGAGTTCAGCTGGCCAAAACTCCAGAAAATTCATTCGTGAAACAATTCTGTGTGTTTCCTTTATCAGTTGCTGCTTTCCAGCATTTTCTCTGTACCAGTTTATTGTGTATGCTTCCTCCTGAAAATGCTCTTGCCTTGACTCAGGATAACAAAGGAAAAAAAATTCCCCTTCTAGCACATCAATGGAGGCACGAAGGGGACACAGCTTCTCTTCAGAGAAAGGGGGAAAAAGATACATTAGGAAGCCAAGTACTTCTTTCAGAAAATTATGTTAGCCTGACTTTAAAGTGATTTGCTGTGCTGCTGGTCTTTTTTTAAGTGACTTGATTTCAGCAAAGTCGTTTGGCAGCATTTGTTTATTCCAGCAATACTTACTGAAAAACTCAGTTTTCTAAGCCTTTATTCTACCTTACACAAGTAAAACCAGAAAGAAAAGGGAGGGTGAAATAAAAAAGGACGTGTCCCTATCCTTGTAATTCTTTCATGTGAGTTCCACGGTGTCAGAATCAAATTGGCACAAAGGGCAGAATCTGGCCTCACTTTACAGTAAAGCAGCTGCCACAAATGGAAGGAGAAAGGAGAAGTTCTTCACATATGGTTTGACTTGACAAATATGGCTGAGATAAAAGCACAGATCCTATGAATTAACATTTTAACCTTCTTATCTTCTTAATTAAAACTATGTAGACTATCTACATTATGTAGACTTCTGAAAAAACTTCAGATGTCTTTGGGAAAGTTTCCTTCAAATTAGATTATGTATGTAAAATTTACTCTTGAAGTCTGCCTTTCCCAACAAATTTCCCAAATTTACTTTTTCACACAGAAGTCATAAAAAAGCACAGAAAAGGAACCTTGGTCTAGAGTTAACAGTAGAAAAATAAAATAAGCCTTTGGTCTCTATTTCTCCTGAGATTCTCAGAGATTATTGTTGTTCAGCAAGTATTGTGATTGCACTTCTGAATGGCACAAAAAGAAACAGACTCATTCTCTTGCTTGCTGTGGCTCTTCACACAGGTATGGTCACACACAACATCATCAAGTGTCTCCAGGTAGCATCCTTGTTCTTATTATTTCATAATTTCCTAAGTCTGGAGCTGGGCTGAAATTGCCAAATCTTTAAGTTTTTGTTCCTAACTGCAAAATACAAAACTTGCTCTACTCCAAGCTACTGTCAAGAAGATGGCACATATTTTAAAGGTTCTATTACTGAATTAAAGACTTTTACTTACTAGTGGAAGACTCCATGATAAACATTAAAAAAAAAATCACCAGAGTCATTTTCTTGAGTTACTTCTCACTTCTTCTCCAGAAAAATGAAACTGAATTGTTCTTGCCTGTTCAGAAAGCCCAAGAAAAACAGATTCACAATTCATCACCAGTGCAGTGAAACAGATTTCTTTGAGCACGTGAGCAGTGTAACTATTGCTTGGTGCTGCAGAGGGCTTTCCAAATGGGTAGTTACAATTTTTTATCATAACAGCTATTTTCATACATCAGGTAATTTATCTCGATTTTTCTTAGCAAGTTTATTTTAAATTCAGAAAGCATTGCAGGGTTTCCTTCCTCTATTTTCTTGTTCAATAGATGCATATTACAATCTTAGAGAAGCACTCAAATTCCAAGACAGTAGGGAATACCTACCACAGGATAGGACCGTGCTTTTTTTCCTCTCCAAAGAATATAAACTTCACAAGACTGGACCTTACAGAAAGAGCTAGTAGAAACTTCACTTGCCTTCAATGAGACCAGCACAATGTTTTAAATGGGGTATGGTGATGGCTAATTTTGAGCCTGCTGGAAAACAATGAGGCATAAAATTTTTTCTTACAATTTTGTCTGTGGAAGCAATAAGTGCCAGCTGACAGCACTAACATTTCCACTGAGGGGCAGGACATGAAACAACTCATATTCATTTGCTTCATGTGTAGTCAACTGTGATTTCAAAGGCAAATGGAAAATACTACTAAATAAGACCAGAGTGGAGCGTCTTCTCTGAGGTTACTCAGAACATCACGTTAACTGACAACCAAAGACAGAGCTAGTCCTAAAACTGTGCCTCAGTTTTGCTTATAAAACAGAAAGATTAGATGAATGATCAGCTCAGTTCAACCCCTGAAGCCAAGAGAGATAACCTTGCTTAGTCTGCCCCAAACGTGCCTGAACAAACGAGACACAGACACAGTCGAGATGTATTTCAGAGATCTGCCAAAAGAAATCTCATTAGCAATCCATTTCTTTGGATTTAATAAGGAAACCAGTAGAAATTTGAGAAAGCACACACTTACTGTTGTAAGACACAGCGTTGAGATTTACAGTCAGAAACTTCCTGTGACCTAAAGAGTCTGGAGGCAGGAGGCTACTGCATTTTCAGCAGTATTCCAGAATGACATGGAACTGTGTAGCTGCTTTCCCTCTGTGTCTTTCTCCTCAGTTTTTTACAAGTGTGCCACCATCCCATAAAGCACTGCAAGGAGATGAAGGAAGCGTTTCACATCTCTTTTTTCAGACAGACTGGTAGGCAGATCCAGATTTAGAAAGCTAGAAGAAGTTGGATTCTCAGTACTACAAGCAAGCAATTTTAATGGGTCATACTGTAAACTTGCCAGGCCTGGTTTCAGTTCCCTACTACACATGGATTATCAAGCTCCTACTCTTCACAAGGGAAGAAGGGCCTCTCTCTTTATTTTAATTTCTTGAATTTACCTTCCTTTTCGACTCTATAACATCCAGAAGAAATACAGTTGTTAGAGACCATAAAACTATGATCCACTACATCATTTATCACCAGATTTTTAATTCTAAATCCAATTCTTTTTTGGTATATCACATCAGCTCACAGTGGAAGTTTTGCTGAATGCACACAGCATAATGCAATCTACTTAGTAATAACCAGGTTTGATATTCATGACTACTCTTAAAAGCAAAACACAGGACCTTAATCTTACTCTCCCATTGCTGTTGAACATGTTCAGTTTGTTTAAAATTGTTCCATTGTAGGCTAAAAGTATTTACACTTGAGCCACACAGTTTGCAGTACTCTTCAATGAAAAGCTCCAAGGGGGGAAAAAAGAGAAGAAAAAAAGATAAATTTTTTTGTGAAAGTCAGCTAATATAAAGAGAATCTTTTAGGAACAGAATAAGATTTTTAATTTTCAGGAAAAAAATAAGGAGAGTTATTTTAAAGTAAAACAAAGATTCTATGCCTAATAAAGGGGTAAAGAAATACTCAATGGGCAAAATGCTAAGGCAATAGTAGGGAATTACAGTTTCAATGCAAATTTATTAAATCACCAATTATCTATAAGGCTCAAAGTGACAATAGCTTTAAGCTTTCTTTTCAAATTTTATACATGTTTAAAAACACTGATGGAGTTTTAATAATCAAAATGGTTCTTAAAAACATTTGTGCCACTGTGAAACCAACAAACCTTAAACAACAAACTGAAGGTTTAAGTTCTGTAAAGTACATTAATGATATCTCATTAACTACTCTGTGTCTTTAAGCACCATTACAATTATTCCTCATTTTTACAGAATCATCAGATTTTGGAATGAAAGGGAGATGATACATTGAAGTGGTTGATCCTCTATTTTGGTCAAGTAACTCATTTTGGTCAACACTTTTGGAAAACTCAGTTTGATCCCAAGAGGTTGTGACTTCATTTGTCTAAAAAAACCAACAGATTCCTCTGAACATAAGACTGTTTGAACAATCATTTTGGGGTCAAGGGAGAAAAGCACTTATATGTCCTCTGTCAGAATGGCTTCTTGTGGTATCTAAGTATTTTTTAAAATATCACCAGATAGTATCATAATTTGCAGACATTCATGAAGAAAATAAAAGTATTTAGCAAACAGCTGTCTTAACCATACTTGGTCCAGGCACCGTTCTGCCAGGATTGCAATTTCTTGGTAAAAATGAAAATCCATCTTAATTTCAAAGAATGTAAGTGAAGTTGTTTACTTACTATGCAAGTCTTGCTAGGTAGAAAGTGGATACAGTAGTCTTTCAAACTCTAGAGAGCTGCAGCTTGTACTTATAACCCTTCTGAACCTCATTCATCAATGAAACAGAGTAGTCCCGCTCAGCCAGTCAATATACAGACAGCTCAATCTGTAAAACCTCCTGAAAAAGAAAAGTAGACTTTCTCACTTTGTGAACACCTGACTGCAGGGAGGAAAACAGAAACGGTAGATGTGAGAAACTCATTTTCACTAGCATTAATGGAATGCAAGCTGCAAGTCCCTAATATTATTATTGTTTTCTAAACAAGGCATTTGAGGGCTGATACACAAATCTTCTAAGCACGATCTTTTGCTCCCACCCGCTTATACCACTACTGACGGAGCCCATCCTCCTCCAAAGCCACCCAGGTGAGAAGGAAATAGCCCAGAGACGGCGACTTGGCAGTGCCAGTGACGAGCCGTGTGTTGAAACAAGCCACTTTCAGGGCTAAATTATTTATGACAGCTCTGTAATAAAGAAAAAGTGTATCATGGCCCCGAAGAGAGGTGTCCGAGCCGAGTGGCTTGGGGGTGCGCGGCGCGGTGTCACGGACAAGGGAAAGGCGGCAGGGTCGGGGACAGGCAGGGTGGGGGACAGGCGAAGGCCGCGGAGAAGACCCCGAACAGCGAGTGCCGAACCCCTCACGCCCGCAGAGATGCCCTTCGGAGCAGGCACTCGGCTTCTCCCAGAGAGGGGAGAAGGAGCCGCCCGCGCCCGACCCTCGCCCAGCCCGCCTGCCCTCCGCCTCTCCCCCCGGCCCTCCGCCTTTCCCCCCTGCCCTCCCCCTTTCCCCCCGGGCCCTCCCTGCCGGAGGAGGTGCCGCGGGGCCGCCCGTTCCGGTGCGGGCTGGCCCGGGAGGGCGCGGCGGGGCCGGTTCCCGGTGTCGCTGGCAGGCAGCGGTGCCCGGCGCAGGGACCGGGGCCGGGCAGCAGCGCGAAGCAGTGCCAGGCTTACCGAGGGCGCTGGGCTGCCACCCGGCCTGGGCGAAACCCTGCGGTGCGCCTCGCGAGCAAAGGCAGGGATGATCAACCTTTTTCGGGGACGGTGGGAGGAGGGAGGGCGCCTTCTCTCTCAAAACCTCCCAGGGGAAGAAAAGGCAGGTGATGCCTGCCGTTGTCTTCAGCAGAAACGCCTCTTCCTCCGTTTTTGTGCTGAACCCCCGTTGTAGGACTCTTTTCCAAGAAATGTGGTGGAGACGGGATGGAAGGTTAGGAACGAGTATATTAGGCTAAGTACACCACCTTTTATCTCTGCTACAGCTTCCTCTCCACCTCTCTGGCTGATTTGAGAATGAGGACGTGGAAAGAGCTAAAACCGAAAGGCTGATATTTTGCAAGGACTCCAAAACGCACACACAAACACAAAACCAAAAAAACAAATACCACCCCCCCAAAGAAAACCAAAACAAAACACAAACACCAAAACCAAAATAATTTCTAAGGAAAAAAAGACACGACAAAAGATATGATCCTACGATATTTTTATAAGAAATGTCCCCATGTTAGTGCTATTTTTTTCTGTGTTACCATCTCCTTCAGGGGGAGAGTAACGTAAACTTTCAAGACATGAAACATTTTATAGCTCCATTACTGCAAAGAGAGTGTATGTATTCACTTCTAAGTAAGCCTTCATGCCAGTAGTTGAGCTGCCTTTTTTAGCTAAATGTTGATATATTGGAACAATAGCTCCATCAGGAGCTTCTGAGTTTCTGATGTGCCTGAGTAAATGAATGCTTGCCACTGTTAATTACACAAATAGTTTTTCTGCTAAGTACTGTGCAATGATTCACTATACTTCTCAATAAAGTTACTTTGATAATGGCAGGAAAAAAATCATTCCCTCAGGAATTACCCAGGACAACTGTGAATGTGGAAGTTTCCAATTGCAACAGATGTCACTTCAGAGGTAGAAGAAGCAGGGTACACTAAAAAGGAGGAAGAGATTACACACAGCTGGCTTTCTTGCATATTTTCACTGCTGAGGTGAACCAAAGAAACTCTGGGGAGTTTGACTCTCTCACGTCATTTCTTTTCCTCGTCACAGATTGAAATAATATGTATATAACAACAGTCAGACCTTTGGATAATGTAAATCAGCACAGCTCCAGGAAAGTCAGCTAAGAATCTAACTCACTATAACTGCTTTAAAAATTTGTACAAGATACTTTGTGGTATTTTGGGGTTTAGGACTTAGTACTTGATTTTAAAACTTAAAAGCATATCATAAAAATTGTAATGATTTTACATGACAGTCTCAAAGCTATATAGCACCCAACAAATAAAATGATGAAGAAAAATGTCATCAGCTTTTTACTTTCACAAACTGAGTCTTGTTAGTGACAGTTTGGAAACTTTTTTTTTAACTCACTTTTTTGTAGAAGTATTTTCCATGAGTTGTTCTCACATTCTTTTGGTATCATATCCCTCTGAAATACTCTCAAGTTTCTAAACTTTCATCTGCACCAGAAAGTGCTGTGTTCAAGTGGTCCTTTCAACTAATGTCATAGTTAGTCATAGCTTTGTGGTATGTGAATGTATATGAAAGGAGAATAAACTTTACACTTTTTACTCCTGAGACTACTACAGTTTTAATGAAATCATAGTCACATAACAGAGAAATAACTCGACTAAAAATAGCTACAGCTCAAATTTTCCGTTTGAAAATGCCACAACAAAAATGAAAGTTTGCATTAATATTGGAAAACAGATTTTTGTATGAAGCTCTGACCACCTGACCAACTAACCAGGGAAGACGAGGTACTTCTCACAGTTTTTCACATCTTTCTTTCCATCCAACATACACTGTGCCGAGGTACTAGCTAAAAAAACCTAAGGTACTAGAAAAACCTAAACTGTGAAACAATATTGCAGCATGTCCAACTCTTGCAAACGCAGTCTAAACCTGTTTGCGTTTAGTTGGTAATAATCCATTTTAATCTATTTCTTTGATCTCTATATACCAGTTTTATTAATTCTTAACAGAGGCTAAGTTATATTTGATAGTTTTTTTCAGCATTATTGGTCCTTGATGTCAAAAAGGAGGTTACAGACTGACAATGTGTCTGTCAAAGCCTCATATGTTTCTCAGAAATTTTAAAGTACACAAGTTGAAAGTTTTCAAACTTTCTTCTGCATCAGAGCATCACAGAATAATTCAGGTTGAAAGGAGCCTCTGGAGGTCCTTGGATCCAGCCTGTCGTCAGAGCACTTACAACTGATATCCAAATACTTAGAAGGACAGAGATTTCACAGCCTTTCTGGGCACATTTTCCAGCATTTGACCGTGCATATGGTGACTTTATTTTTCCTAATATGTAATATAAGTTTCCCATATTCTTATTAATACCAATTACTTTTTTGTCCCATCTCTGGCATCCTTTAAGAAAAGTCTGGCTCTGTAAATTCTTTCTGTCTTTATTAGATTCTTGTAGATAGAAATAGGGCCTCTTATCTTCTCCCTGAATGACCTGTGTTCTTGGTGGTCTTTCCCTGGACTCCATTATGTCAGTGCCTTGCTTGTACTGAGTTTATTCCATCTCAGATGCAGCACTTTGTACATGCCTTGGATTAAACTTTGTGGGTTTCCTATCAGACCATTTCTTCAGCCTGTTGCTGTCCAAAACAGCAGACCTCTGTTCCAGTGGGCCACCTATCCCTCCCCAGTTTGGTCTTCTGTCTGAAAATCCACTGCTTGTGCAGTCTGTCCCATTGTCAAGGTCATCAGTAACGGTGCTGAATAGTATTGGTGCTGATATCAGTCCCTGAGGGATGCCTCTGGTAATGTGCTGTGATCTGAGGTTTGGATGTTGGTCCCCCATGGACTTTGGTCCCACTGTTTTGGTCCCACTCACATTTGCAGACTTATCTGTATATCATTAACAGAGATTGTACCAAGGCCCTTGCTCAAAACAAGGTATGCAGCATCCTGTGTTCTCCCACTTTCCACAGCACAGCTGGATATGCATGATGTGTTTCTAAAACAATAGCTGTAGTTTTTCAAATATTGAAAGAGTCAGGAATATAAAGTTGTAATTCAACAGAATATACTATCAATTTTACATATCATCTTCCAAACATACTTTGTCCAATCCTGCAAGAAATTAATGTTGCATATACCACAAATAGTAGCTTTCTACAAAAACTTCCAAAAACTTCTAAAAATTCCTTTGAGTGGTCAGTCTTTTGGGCTTCACAACCATGTGAACTGTGTAAGGACATCAAATCTGAACGCTATAGGAAACCCCAAGACCAAACCATTAAATATGTTCACACAAAGGGCTTGTGTATATTAAATGCATATGTGGTGAGGGCAGAACATTCTACATGCTCTCTGAAGTTGTCCTATTTCATAGTAGCAGGAGCTGATTTTCATACTTTGGAAGTCACCAGAGGCTTAGCCACTGAAATCAGTGTGAGATGAGTCACTGTTTATTCCTGTCCCTTCGTTATTTCTTTATTGTCTGCAATGCAGTGTATACTTTTTCATATATGAAGTATCCACTGACAAGGCTTTACAACTGAGGGCATACATCTCTGTATGACTGTGGTTATATGGCAAAGAGACACTTCTGTTCCTTTAAAATATGTTATTATAAGAGAGTCAGCACTGTATTCTTAATGCCAGATTCTGAGCTGCTGTTTACAAGTTATGCCATATGGGTTTCAGGAGATTACAGCAATATGCACACCCTGAAAAAATTCCCTGTGTTTAATTCTAAAGCTGATAGACTAATTTCTAGCTGGTCAGAATCTCTGAGTGCCTGTTCACCCACGAGATGGCAGGATGACTCTGTTCTATTAAGAAGCTAGAGCAAATCTGCACTCAGGAGTCCCTTGAGATGCCAAAACCAGAGAAGCACGGGTCAGAAATTAAAGGACATTAAATTTCTATGTGGACAGTATAGTTCTGTAACAAAATTGCCTTGGTTCTCTTTATTTTAAGCTTAAAACATCCAAACTGAATCATCTTTAAGCTTTTAATGTTTATTCCTATGTTGTTATTTCTATGTTTATTTATTTCTATGTTGAAAGCAGAGATTTTTTTTTTTTTGCACAGGGCAGACAGGGCAGACTGTCATTCTGTTATTCGACAAGGGCAAACTGCTTCATGTAAAATAGCCAATTTTAATTAAAACCATGGGTTTTAAATTTTGATTCTTTGTAAGTTGCGTATCACAAAATCATAGAATGAGGGTGGAAGGCATCTCTGGATGTTATTTGGTTATCTAGCAAGGTTATCCCCTTGCTCAAGACTGCCCTGTGTCCAGGCAGTTTTTGAGTGTCTCCAAGGCTGGAGACTCCACAACTTCCTGGGCAACTCTGCCAGTGCTGGGTCACCCTCACCACCCTCACCACCCTCACCATAAAAACACCTGTTTTCTGGTGTTCAGAGGGAACCTCCTGTTTCAGGTTTGTGCCCATTGACCCTGGTCCTGTCACTGGGCATCACTGAGAAGAGCCTGACTCCCTCTTCTTCATATGACTCCCTCTTCTTCATACCCTCCCTTCAGATGAGAGACTTCTATTCACCAGGCTGAATAGTCCCAGCTCTCTCCACCTTTCTTCATAGGGGAAATGCTCCAATCCCTTTACCAACTTCATGGTCCTTTGCAGTACTCTCTCCAATATGTCCATGTCCCTCTTCTATTGAGGAGCCAAGAACTGAACACAGGACCAGATGTGGGCCTCAGAACTGACTGAAATTGTAATGGTACTGTAAAATATTCCACAGTTCTTTTTCTGCTTTCTCTCTAACACTACAAATGTGATAGCATCTGTGGAAAGACATCCATTGTAATGCATAGCTCAGATTTCTTTACTAATCACCAAGGAATACCAAAAAATCTGTGACAACTGCAGCATTTTTTACTCATTATTACGGTCACATACTTACCCCCTGGTTCTGTAAATGTTCTTTGCTACTGTCTGTATTTGCCTCTTCTCTTTCTGTCAAGGCCATGCTGTTCACTGCTGGCATACCACAATAAGAGTTGTCAGGTTTTGCTTGATTACTTTCCTCTTTTTTTCTTGGTTGACCATGATACTTGATACAAAAGTAGTGTCAGTACAAGAGCCATTTAGTGAGTTTGTTTTTCCTCACTATAACTACATGTCTGGCTAACAGAAGTCAATGAGACAGCAGTGTGTTTCAGAGTAATTTGGTTCATTTCTGACCCCATGCACTTCCTCATTGTACCTTCTCCTGATCCCTTTCCAACTTCAAAATTCATCCTAGACTTTTGTTTCCAAGATAACTCGCTTATCATCTTTTCTTGTTCATCAGATGCCCAGGACTCAGACTGTATTAAGAACTGATCCTGTAATAATCTTGGAAGTGAATGTTCTGTCTTGCTCAGAAGCTTATGTGAAAAATCTTCATAATGTATAGCAACAGACTTTCCTGCTTTTACATATGGCTTAATATTCTTCCTGTGGGAAGAAATGGTACTGTAGGAATAAACCAAGTCTCCTACACTGGCATGAATTGTTTTGGGGAGCTTCCACAGAGACAGTAAGGTTTGTCCAGAGGGGATCCTTACGAACAGGACCTCACACTGCACAAAGTTGAACGAGGCAATAACAAAATGCAACATTAGATGCTTTATATCTGCGATGAAGTGAGCAATGACAGAGTAAACACTTGAAAATATAACTCATCAGTGAAAAACTGTTTAATTTGCCATAGATCTTTTATTATAATGTTCAAAAATATCTACATTTATTGCATGCACATTTTTTCTACTCCAAATAGCTATCCATAAGTCTGAGGATCCACTTATCCAGTAAGTAAAAACTTTCAGTAAAAGGAAAAAACTTGCCTGTTCTGTAATCCTGGTCTTGGTAACAAGAGGTGTTCTGCATTGAATTTTCACTTTTTAAATCTATTCTGTAGCAAGTCTGAAGCTGAAAACACAACCTGCTTTGACAGTAAGAAATTTCCTGGTTTTAAAAAACTAAAAAGATAAAAGTTTGCAGGGATATCTTTACTAGAACACATTTTGTTCATATTCCATGAAGTAAGAGGAGATTTGGCTCTATCTTTTAGAGTATTCCCTATCAGAAGAAGGTATAACTAGGCATGAGTTCAAAGCAGGGGAAAAAAAAGTGGATATTTCTTGTTATTAAAAAGCAGTTTATTGTTTGAGTACCTTAAAGAAATGCTATCAGTGTCCAAAAGACCACTCTAAATTTTAAAATGTTGTTTCCATATGGAGATCATAGAATCACAGAGTCACAGAATATGCTGAATTGGAAGGGACCCACAAGGATCATCAAATTCAAATCCTGACCCTGCTCAGGACCATCTCCAAGAGTCACACCATGTTCCCAAGAGTATTAATAGCAGTAACAGCATGGCCTATTGTACCTGAAAGATTTAAAATTTCCCCTTTGTGTGAAATTGATTTTAATATATATATATAAAATATAAAAAAATACATATAAATATATATCAGTGTATTTATTTCCCATAACACTGCATTTTTACTGCTGTATTCACATCAGTCTTAAAAGAACCTTTAGTGAGGCATCCCTACTAAGGAAAACTAAAATGTCATGGTGTGAGTATCACAATTGAATCAAAAAGGAATGTGGCAAAAAAAAAAGGGAACTAAAGCATAATATTATACTTTCTAGTGGCATAATACACATTATATTTTCTAGTCAAATAATACAAAAAGCACTTAGTTTGATCAACTGCATTAGAAACCTGAAAGTCATTCACCTATTCACAATAATAACTTTCTGCTATATATACAACTGTATATAAAAAGAGTATAGGTACATTTAGCTTCATGCAAAATTCTCCACACATTCTAGAATTAGTTCTTCACAGAGCTCTCATACCTATAAAAACTTCCCTCAGTTCCCTAGACCTCTTCTGTCAATTTACCTTGTCATTATTCAATTGAAAGACTGAAAAAAGTTCAGAAAAAAGTTTTTTTTAAAAAACAAACAAACAAACAAACAAACAAAAAAAAACACCAAAAACCACAGCCAGACTTCCAGACTGTAACATTACGTACCTTCTGAGAGGAAAAACAATTGCAGGCATGTAGTCCATTCTGAGAGTTTAGCAGTATTTTCATAGACTGTTCACCCAGTGTTATCTGCGTGTGAGGACTTGAGTGTCGGTGGCATGTGGTACCTCACCTGTTTCCAGAACTTAGAACTGGGTGACTGTGGGTGCACAGTGTGTTGCTCTTTCCATTTGATGGTACCTTGTTGCTTAATAAGAAACCTAAGAGATTCCTGAAGCTTCCCGTAAGTCCCAATTCTCTCCATTTCCAGAAGGATCACCTTTGTGTCATTTTGAATGAGGGCATTGTATAAAGCAATGTGTTGATCATAGGTATGTTCTTTACAGTTAACCAGCTGGTGTGTTAGAAGGATGATCAGCCGTCTGCTGCTCTGCATCCTCTTCTCAATTGCACTGGCTGTATCTGGCAACATACAAGAAAAATATGAGACCCTGATCTTTCTTTTAGAACGCTTTTGTGTTTAGGCACTTCATTTTCAATTGCTTTTTAACAAAAAATAACTTCCGTCTCACTTCAGGCTGGTACAGTTTATTTATTAGAAGAAGACTTTGTACCTCAAAAAAGAAAAAAACAACAACCGACCAAAGGGGGAAGGAGGGGAAAGAGAAAAGCAAAACAAACAAAAAACCCAAAACCACAAAGCTTTCCTTTCAAACGTTTTCTTTGCTTGTAACAAAGCAAATCTGATCTTAAGAATTGTTAGGAATTTTTAGTCTAATGACCTGGAGTCAAGTTCTGTAGATTTGGATTGCATCAAATTTGTGCTTGGTAAACAGTAAGGAATCATGTTCTATCAAGTTCAGTGCTTTAGAGACTGATCTTGCAATACTTACCCATGAAAACTTGTAATGTGGAGACTTTGGGGTGACTTGCTTCTAAGAGGCTTATTTACAGGCAGGGAGAGTGTTAATTCTCCTGACTTATAGCATGCTAAGCTATACACTAATCTCTGCGTCAGGTTGGCATTCACCCTGCAGGGTTGGATCCAGACTTGCAGGGCATTTGTATGTCAGCACAACTGAAGGTGTTTAAATTTCCCACTACCACGTTAGGCAGACCTGATCAGTGGAACTGTGACTGTGATGCTGGAGGTGTCGAACCTAGGAAACTCAAGAGCCAGCGTGCTATGGGAGAAAATTCTGGACCAGCTTGGAAAGCTCCACATCAAGCCTCCAGGAGCTGCTTTTCTCAATGACCTGCTGGGATGCCTATGGGAGGGAGACTGCAAATGAATGCCCGTCCAGTGGAACTCTCATCTCAGTTATAAGAGATTCCTGTGGTCTGTAGAATAAAATCTGGAGTTGTTTTGGGCAGCATAGGATGCTGGGCCAAAAGAAAGGAAGTGGGACCCTAGATGAAGAAATTCAATATAACAATTATTTAACAAGTCAACTGATATGCAGACATCATCAGCCAGCTGCATACGCATCCTCTTTTCCTTTGCTGGGGGGTGCCAGCCCCTCAGTCTCAGAGGTCCAGCTTTTTCAGCTCCTTACTTTTTCAGGAAGAAAACTCTTTCAGTGTCTTCTCCATTCTCTTTCTTGGCTCTGGGATTATTTCGTGAAAACAATTTGCCTTTCTATAATGTTCACCTCTTTTCATTTTCTTCTTTTTCATTAAGTTTTCCTAATGTTACGAGAACAGATACCTTGGAAGGTGAGAAAAATGAAGCTAAGCAGCTACTGCCATAGGTTTAGTTCCCATAAGAGCAACAATTAAAAGAAAAAAAAAATCTTTCTCTGTTTTGAGGTGCAGTCCATTGTGCTCAGGACTGAAAGACCATGGACCTGACGAGATACTAATTTCTTCATTTGGATTTCTCATGTTATACTTGTGGCAAGAGGAAAGATGGGGCTGCATGCTGCAAATACTTTAACCAAGGTATTCATTGCAGCCTGTTCCATGAATTTTAGAAGTTTATATGAGTTCAGAAACTGACAGAAAATATTGTGAGAGAAAAAGGCATTGCAACTGGTACAGAAAAAAAATCAAGCATCTGAAGTCCAGCTAGGAGAGTATGTTAGTGGAAGTATAGCATAAGCTTGTCTGGTTCTCAAAGCCTTTTCCAGTCCTTTGCCCATGGCCACTGCTGAAGATAGGACACTTGGCTACACAGAACATTGCTCCAGTGAAGTGCAGTCATTCCTCTATTATTTGCTTGTGGTTTCTTGTGTTACAGATACAGTGGGTCCAGAAGTGCTTTGCTAGATTCTGCAGCAAGGAATGTAGTTGGCAGGAAAATGAGACCATGAGAACAATGGAGTAGAGGTAATGTTGGTGAAACCTCCCGGGTTTTGGGTAGTACTTGCATTTGCAACTCTTCAGGTCACTGCTAGGTTGTAGAAAATGCCAGTAATTGGTAAGATCAGGAAACAAAAAGAATGCTAGTTTAAGGAAGCATAATAGGAGTCCAACAGCTATGCAGTGCTGTTTATCACTTGAATCATTCTGTATAATTTTCCCTTTTACTGGAAGAACACAAGTTTCAAGTAACAAAGCTTTGCTCTGAAACCAAGAATCATAAGCATTTCTTGAAAAAATAATTCCATTTTATATACTCATTGCAATTAATTTTTTTTCCTAGAAATACATGGAGTTTTACAATGAAAAATATGAAAAACTATGATGCATGTTCAGGAAGGATACAATAATTCAAAGAGGCCTTTCCTGCTTATCTTTGTTTAGCATATTTTAATTGTAGGGTTTGGGATTTGAAAACCTGATAATGAAAGACTCAAGATCAAAAGATAAACAAGAGTGGGGAGCATATGTTTAAAGTCCATCTTCCTGGAAGCAGAGAACTTTTAAGTGCTCCCAGTGGCAGGTAGATTTGAAACAGCTTTTCCACTCAATTGAAAACATTTTTTGGGCATCAAGGTGGATAAGAAAGAGAAAAGGTAAAGACTGGAGAAGTAGACAAGAAGAGAAAAAGAAGAACAATAGTCAACACTTGTGGCATTTTTAGAGTTTTGATTAAATCAGACCAAACAAGTCAAACAGAAGTTACTCACTGTCCCAGGCTGGCTTGATGAGTCTTCTGTCTGTCACTCCTGGGTTACAGGCTTCCATTCACACCTTCACTAAGTGAAAATGTGTTTCTTTTCATCCAACGTCTTACAGCCCTTGTAAGTTACACAGTCTTAACCTCAGTTGTATGCCATGCTGAGTTTTCTTCATGATTTCCATCCAACAACCACAGTTTGAGAGTAGTATCTCAGAAGAAAATATTAAACTGTCTACAATCTCCTGAAGAGGTGGTCTAAGTTTTTGTCATTGACAGATTTGTGAGCTACTCTTAGCTCCTTGTGCTGGATCTAACAACGGTCTGGCTCAGCAACTTTTGCTGCTTTTTTCTACATTTGTGTTGCAGTGTTTTTTCTCAAGGCCAGGCAGCCCTTTCACAACTCTCCAGCAGAGAAGAACATCAAGGACCTCAGTCTCAGCTCAGGATAGATGAAGGATACCTGGCCCCAGTGCAGATGACTTCAGAAATTTGTAACAGAAAATATGCCAGCTTAGGCTTCGTGCCTGCTTATTGACAGGGAGAGAAGAACTGGTCCACAGAATAAGCAGAGCACAAGATAAACAGATAAGTCAGCTCTGGAGGAGAGCAGATAGCAACTAGGTGACAGAAGTCATACAAGATAGTGTAAAGGCATCCACATGGAACTAGCACAGATCAACTAACATGATCTCATTCTGTAAGACAAGAAAGTGGAAATAAAGCATACCAACTCTCTCCTGAATCAATGCTGGGAATTGTGTGAAGGGAAAGTAGGTCATGTCAGTGAACAGAAGCTGAACTTCCTGTGACTCTAATGCCCTCATAACACGTTGAAAACCCCAGAGTGATAACAGCAAAGGTATTTCCTCAACTCAATTTGTGGTTTTCTCCTCTTTCTTTTGTTGTAGACAACCAGTCCTACTCACTAGTTGCTTCATTGTGGCTTTGCCTAGACAATGGCTGTGCAGTTAGGCTATCCAAAGAGCAGATGTATGTTTGAAAGAGTCGCACTTGGGGTCACAATCTCTGCACATTTCAATCTGTGCACTCAATCTGTGCCCCTTCCCTGTAGCTTGTTTTTCTTAGCACACTGACTAGCACTGGGTGCCCTTGTGTCACCCTGCCTGAAAGAGCAGACACACAGCTGCTGAAGAGGTGAGCATCAAGCTCAGGAATTTAAAGTGGCCTCCCAGACACCTAAAAGAGACTAGAACCACAGTTTGCTCATGCTAGACAAGTCTTTTAGTGCATTATTAAATCTGAAACTTACCTTCTCCAGGATATATATCTCTCCCATAAATACACAATTTATATCCACATTTATTTTCTAGAATTTCTGGCATGATTTGGTAAACAAAGTATTCCACAAAATTAGCTTCATTGGTGTGATTTTTGGGGTAGATAACATATGCATCATATGTCTTCCCATCTGTAAGGCAAAACAAGGAAACTATATTGTGTTGGCATGAATTAGAGCTGTCTGTTGCAAAAAGTAGGAGAGAAATAAAAATATCAGTCTTTGAAATAGACCTAAGAGGAAGTTCCTGCCTATCTGAATAATGTATATTATTGGGTGCATGTTTGGAAATTAAAGACTGTGCACATTTGATGTTTTCCATGCTCAGTTGTTATGTCAGGTGTGTTTATACCTTTGGAGAACCTGAACTTTGTATTGCGAAGGCTGAATCCTAGGGTATATAGAGTAGGATTTAAATTGATCAATGCATATTATCATGAAATAGAGATGAAGCTCAGCATTTGTTATTTCAGTGATACAATGGGCTGTTAATAGACTTTGTCTCTCAGGACTTAAATTCTTCCATCTTGAAGAAATTGCTCATCATTACCACAAGATATCATACTTCTGAGTGAAAAGCTCCATTAAGAAGTAGTCTTACAGTCAGAATCAAGTACAAAGTTAAATATTTATTTAGCTCTTTGCTTGATTTCTCTCAAATATGTTTTCCATGACAGCATTTTTATTCTAATCCCAAATGTTTAATTTCTTTCTTTCCAGGGGAGATCCTTTCTTTTGTTCCTATCTGAGGTTCTTGCTCAAAACATCCTAAAAATAGATCCCATGAGGAGCAGCTGAGACGGTTGGGGTTTTAAGCTTTCTTTCTCAAATCTTACTCACCATCCTTGACGGAGGAGGGCTGAAATATCTCCCGATACAATAGGACAATATCAACTCGGAAGGACTGATAAAGTATAACCGAGACTGCTATTGCAATTAGCAGAACTAGAGATCCTGTGATCAAGAGGACATTACAAAGAACCACTGCAAAGTAGAGGGATATATTGTTAGCCATAGAGAAGTTAACCCGTGTGCTGAAGATTTAGCCTCTCATATTCTTACTTCTTTTACAGCTTTAAGGAGCTTAAAACAGAGATGACAAAGCTTTTTCCTTCCCCGGTTCGTGTAGCCAACACAGAGACCCCTGAACTAGAAGTGTATTAAGTAGTAGATAATTAGTATTTACTTTGTTGAATCCAGGCCTATTTATACTAAATACCACAGCTGACAATGGCGTTTAAGTATTTTGTAGCTTTGTAAAAGTGTTAATAACACAACCAGGAACAATGTTCAAACATTTTGTAAGACATCTAAGCCTACGCATGAAAACTGTTAAATGTCCACACAAGGACAAGGCTTCTGGCAGGATTGCACAAACAGGGTACAAGGAAGCATGATGTGCATGTAATGAAATCTGCGATGTAAGAACTAAGTACACAAAACAAACAGGAAAACAGAACATGTCCTGGTTGTAAAAATAAAATAAACTACACTGAAATCAGATAATGTTCTCTCCTTTAAAGAGGGTCAAGGAGCATAAAATAGCAAAATAAGAAGAAACAGGAAAGAAAGTAGCCAGCCACTTTAGTTCCAGCATCCCTCATGGAAGAGCTCTTGAATCTCAGCACGTTCTCCTCAGAGATGAAGATTTATCATGGATAGATTCAGACTAGATACAAGGAAGAAATTTTTTACCTTTACAGTGGTAAAACACTGGAACACGTTGCCCAGAGAAACTGTGAAAGATGTCCTTATAATGGCTGAGGTGTTGATAACCTTTAGATAACCTTTAAAAGTTCATTCCAACCCAAGCCATTCTATGAATTTATAATTCTATAAGGAAGGCAATCACCAACTCTGTGCTAGTCTAGGATACGATTGTGATTATCCCTCTTCTAGAAGAGAGTTGCATTTCTATTGCAACCCAGGCAGACACATTTTTGCAACAGTCCATTTTTCCTCATGTTCTGTGATTCATGGAGCAGAACTCAAGCCAGATATGTGCATCTTCTAGATAACATCTAGTTCTGCTCTAGCAAGAGACAAGGTGAGGTAAAAGCAAGGTTATTTCATACTCACTTGAAACTAGAAAGATAAAATCTTAATCTACAGACTATTACAATCATAAGCTGAAGAAGATACTCGACCTATGTCCTGGATATACCAGGATTCAGTATTGAAAACACTATGAATTCCAGATGGCGAAAATTGAAATTAAAATATCAAAGGCTTTCTACAGCAATTGCACAAAAAAAAGAAAAGATGCAGGGAAGATTAATGGCAATTGTTTAATAGTAGAAATCTCTTCCTAAGCAAATGAGAAAGATACCAAGGTCTTCTCCACTTGGTTGTAACATATAGACTCAGAGCAGTCCCATGTAAATTTTTTCTCTCACAACTAAATCCTTTAAGAGATTTCCATTCACAGTCTACCATCTTAACATAGTTATTTGTGCCCAACAGGACCACTCACTATCCTATAGTTGTAATGATATAACTGCTCTGGGGACTTCTCTGTGGTTCATATCACTCAAATTACTTGGAATAAAAATATAGTCTAATAAATTGGATTAGGTGATGAACTTTTACCCCCAAAAAACCACACATGAAAACATCTAGAATGTACATCTCATCTGCATAAAAGGGCCCATCTGTATTTTTATTTTACTATGCCCTGAATTGGAATATCACTAGAAGCATATATCCCTTCAGTATTACGAAGAGATCTGAGGTTCATTGCAATTTCAGAATTATTTTAGCAGAGGAGAGACACACTCTGTTGAACGTTGACTACATAAATTTAAATACAAACATTCTAGCAACACAAACATGGAGATCAGCTTTGGCATCTTCACTGTAAAGACCTTTCACAGCATCTCAACCCATGGTGGGTTATTACATGTCCTGCTAGCAGCTCCACCCAGCTAAGTCTTATGCATTCAGAACAGGGGAACAGCCTTTCCAGGCTTTTCGTCCTCTGCCTCAAAAATGCACAACAGACATGTGACTGCAGCAACAGACCACTCACCAGCACTTGTGGAGGTGCATCTTACAGGAGGCTGAAGAGTCAGTCTTACTTTCCTCTGCAGAAGAGGCAGCAGATTGGAAAATGCTGCAGATTGTATGCAGCCAGTAAGTATGCTACCAAGTGAACACACTGACCACCACCAAGGAGCAATTTGAGAGCTTTTGCTTAGACTTGGCACTACATGAATGAAGTAAGATAAAATATTTAGCAGTGAAAATACTCTTACTGAAATTTACAGGTTTCTTGGGCTTCTCTGGGAGGTATGGATTAAGGCAGTGTATCGAGTAGTACTTACAGAGGAAACCTAAAAATATTAGTGCCAGAGAAATTCTGCTGAAAAGGTATAGAAAGAAAGAATTTAGAAGTACATTTTCCCTTTCCTCTGGTAGGATGTGAGGTAAATCTAACATGATTTTCACACTCTTCACATTTTTTCTTCTCTATTTAAAGGGAGAAGGAAACATCAGGCTTGTGATGAAGCTTACTTCACCAGTACTAAACCTGAGGAAAACACCTTCCAATAAGATGGAATTGAGCAAGAAAACAACTAGTTCCTTTTATGGTGAAGTTTGGCCATTTTGTATTTTTCACAGTGCTACATGATGCCTATGAAGGAATCTTGTCTTTATTGACCTCTTCAGGTTTTATGATTTCATCCATTTTCCCAGTCAATACACACACATACACACACACAAAATGAGGAAACTCCTGTCACTACCTGGTGAGGACAACCCAAACATCAGAACTTGACACTGTTTCTTATTGATTCATTTGTTGACAATGTGCCTATCACAACATTACAGTTACTGTTGTAATGCATTGTCTCTATAAACATCTAGAGATGAAACAGAATCCAACAACAACTTCTGCAATTACAAACCTAAAAAACTGTTTCTGTTTGGTTTTGTACTGATTAGGCCAAGGCTGGAAAAGAAGTGATAAATTTCCTGTGTTTATGCAGCTTGTAAAGCATCAGACAAGAATTCCACAGAGGTCTTCCTGGAAGAGCAAGTTCGATTCCTGGTAAGACTAGCTTAGCCTCTCATTTCTCTGGAATAAGTCAGCTATCTTCAGCACAATGGGAGCAAGTGTCACGAGCCCCTGAACAAGGTTGAATAGATCCTGTTGTTCCATTTGACCTTGCTGCATCATTTAGTGGCAGAGTTCATGAGTAGGCTGTCTTCTGTTTATTTATATTCAAGAGTGATGGGAATACTGAACTATCAACTCAGAAGAAACAATACTGGGGAGGCCAGAGAAAACAAGCCAGGTTTCCTGACAAACTCCAGAGCAGTTTTTTCTAACTTCTCTGACTTCTAAGAAGGATCCACTTCCAGACAGTAAAGGCAGAGATCTGGGTCTGGAATTCCTGTCCACATCAGTCTACCAAATATGAGTCAAAAGATTAGGTTCAGCATCAAGTATCTTTGAGAAAGAACAGAGCTGATGCTTTGGGCTGAACTTTATCTCGGCTTTGAATGACTGGAATTTCTGGTGCTCTTCAGAGAAGAGGGTTCATGCCATAAGGATTTGTGGTCCTCTGGATATTTTATACTTCCACATGAATAAGAACTGAGGAATGCTCAGGGAGAAATAAGATGATGGTTGTGGGTCAGACATATGAAAAGCCACCTCCAGTTATTTAACAAGCCCTGAATCAAGATAATGAACTAAAAAGTAGTGACAGCTTATATATTAATAAAGAGAGAAGGAGTTGAAAGGTATTTAGAAAGTCCATATGTTCCCTAGCAGACAGGTTAAAAGGGATGCTGAGGGGATGTTCCTGTCCTCGCTGGTAGAAGGAGATAACACATTCCCTGTTTCTCCAATTACTTGTCACTGCCTCTGTCTCAGGAGCTAACAGCTTCCCTCCCTCTGCCAGCAGAGATACTTTCATGAGCATTCATGCACTGCAGTTATCAACGATATGGACTGACGTGAACAGTGTAGATGATTAATTTCCTCATTCTTGAGAGGTGGCATCTTTCAGCATAAGAGGTACCATGCAGCTGCAGATAGCAACTTGGAGTAGTCTAGCAGGTAGAGTCGCTTTCTCTTACCAGGTGTGCAGCAAGACTAGCTTTGACTTTGCCATGAAAGGTGGAAGAAAAGGGAATTAAAAGTTGTCACAAATTTATTAGCCTTAGTGACCAGAGGAACACTACTCCAGTGACACAGAAAATTTCAGAGCATATGAGAAGACATGTCTCATGGCAGAGAGAGAATGTAAAATCTGGGATGATCACCATCTGTGGCATTAAAAATATAGTACTGAATACAAATATAGTACTGAAATGGAATGTGAAGTGAAGTGTTGGTGAAGGAGTCAGAAGATACCAAATGGCTTCAGGCAAAGAAGGGACAGAAAGGATGGGAAATAGCGTGGAAGATGAGTTCAATATTGACTGTGGGTGATCAAAGTCTAGGCAGGGGTTGAATAAGAAAAAAATTGAGAAATCTTCCACAGCAGAAGGAGAAGCAACCTCTAAATGTAGCAGCAGCAACAGTGGCTGAAATATGCAGGGACATTAACACCTCCTAATGGAGGCAAGAATACAGCTGCAGAGATTGTCAAAATTCATAGTCAAATTCTCATTAAATTGTTCTCATGAAACAAAGAAGGAATTTGTCTGATTTCTCTGTGTCTGAAGGACATGGTGTGCATAGTCTGGTTACTACCAACTCACACCAAAAGGAGGTGACTACATTGCGTTATACCTGATAACTGAGGTACTTAGGTCACGTAGCTCTTTTCTACAGAGCTGATCAGCTGCTCTTAGGAACATTTATTTCCTTTTTATAAAGATAAGTGAACAGACACTTCAGACAGACACTTGAGACAGACACATTTTTCACAATACAGGACTTTTCTTCACACACATATACGAATATATGCACATGAACACACCACATATATATCCTAAACTGGAAAACATACTTTTTTCACTGTGAAATGTCAAACATCTTTGCCAATGACATGCATTCCTGGTAGTATTAAGGGAGTATTTTTGTTTTCCATGGAAGCAAAACTAAACAGCTCTTGACTATGAAGGAAGTTCTTACATTTCTCATAATTCCTTTCTGAAAATTTTTTTTCTTATGTGAATTACAATTGTTACTAAAGCAAATTGTTAGGGTTAATTATAGTGATATTATTATCAATGAACTAGGACTTAAAGTATTTGATTATGAATCAGAAAAATAAATTTAATTCCTGGTTTCCAAAGAAAAATTTCCATGTGGTGAGGTGAATCATTCTTTCAGCAGGTTTTTGACTGAACAGGTACATATGCAAAGGAGCTCTAATGTAATTGCTTACAGTATCTTTGCTTCCTCCCTGATCTGTCACCTGTGCTGCCAAACACTATTTATCCGGTTCATTAAATGTCCCCCAAATTGACTAATTTGAGTAGTAAGTGGCACTATATCCATTCAACTCTTAATTCCTATCACAAATCTGTGCTACAAATTATGGTAATGTAACCCCTACTGAATGTCCTAAAAAAAAAAAAAATCAGAATACAGAACAGGAATTTGTGTGAAAAGAACATTACAGGATAGTAGCGAGCAGGAACAAGTTGTGCTGTGGGAAACACTAAGGAGCAATCATATATTTGGAAAAAAACCCACAAGATTTTTTTCCTATTAAAAACAAACACACAAACAACAACAACAACAAAAAAGGAGAGCGCACATTTTTATTATGCATTTACAAGACGAGAGGCACAAGAAAATCCTACAGCATTTTTATTATTCTCAGAGGGAAGCTGTCATTGTTCTAGTATAAATATTGCTCAGCTGTGTGAGAAGTGAGTGAAGAAAACTGAAGCAGAGCACAGCTACTTCTGGACGTATCATTGCTTGCACCAACAGTGCTGAGGAGCAGAAGCAGACACCTTGTCAATAGCAGCAACAAGGAGAAAGGAACAGGTATCCACACAAAAAGGGCAGAAGCAAAAGGGAGATCACAGTCAAGAGCTTTCTTGAACATTTACTGAAGACCTATGAAGAGAAAACAAAGTAAGATTTGTTGGCAACAGAAGTCAAATTCAGTGATTCACTGGATGAATATAGAATATGTTACACTCTTTTCTTCATCTAGTCTGTAACACAGGACCAATAAAGGAGTTGCATTGCTGAACTAGAGTGAGTAGAAACTGTTACTCAGTTTTCTTCCCTCTCATTGCAAGTACACTCCCACACTCAAATAGTGCAGTGCAGAACTGATGTGCTTCCAGCTTCCTGAGTGATGCTATACTCACACTCACTCATCCAACCAAAACATCTCCTGCCACCTTCCTCTGGAAGGAGGTGGTGCTATCCTGCTGTTATAATTCACCTACATTCCTTCTAACTCTGGCTATGGCAAGGAAAAAATGTCTAGTCCTTGAAACTGTGATCCTGTAGAAAGTTATGGGCAGTCAAGAATACTGCAGAACATGGATCTGTGCATACCCTGTGATCACAATACACTTGATTTTACTCTTCCCACCATTCACCTATAGAAAAGTAATCCTTGTTCAAGGCCTTGACATTTACTCTCAAGGTCCTCAAGAAAAGAAAGCAGGTTTAGATTAGATATTAGGAAAAATTTATTTACTCAGAGTGTGGTGTGGCACTGGAACAGGTTTCCCAAAGAAGTTGTGAATGTCCCATCCCTGGTGGAGCTTTGAGTAACCTGGGCTAGTGAAAGATGTCCCTGCCTGTGGCAGGGAGGTTGGAAGTAGATGATCTTTAAAGTCCCTTTCAACTCAAACCATTCTATGATTCTTGGTGTTTCAGCATATCTGAAGGGATAAGAAAGGAAACCTATAACTGCAGCTTCTTCTTGTGCCTTCACAGACAAAAAGCATTCTGTGCCATAGGAATCTAGCCTATGAATGCTGGTATCAATGCTTAGGGATCTGCCTATCCCTGCTAAAAAAAAAAAAAAAAAATCCCATAGGAGCTAAGGATCATTCCAGTCCCCACCATTTACTGCTTTGGATTTTGTTTCTGTTTCAGGTACTCCTAGTACCATGAACTCAAAAAACAAAACCAAGGGAAAGCCTTTGAAGTGCTACTGACGCCTCTGTGTGTCACAGAGTGAACACAGTGGCCCTCAGAGAGAGAAGATAAAGAGACTACAAAGAAGTCACACCACTTAACATTCAGTCAAAAGACAAAGGCACTGCAGTGATGAAGTACGGGAAGGAAGGCAAATCAACTGGCAAACCAGCAGCTGAAACTCTTATATTTAAAGTTTGCCTATTTTTTGCCATGATTTCACACTAGAAGCAACAGTTTGTCACAGTGGAGAAATAACCTAGAAAGAGGATACTCTTATCACAGGGTTGATACAGTCACACTCTGTTCTGTATATTTCATCTCTCGCTGATACTCTTTGAATTATGCCCCACACACACAACAGAATTTACCCCAAGGACTTTCAGCCATGAGAGTTTTGTCGCTGGCTTGAATATGTGGGGAAGATGCAGGCTGTTACTCTTCTTACTAGCAGAAACTTTCTCACTAACCAAAACAATAAACTCACCAACATATTTCAAACTGAGTTCAAAGTGTAAAAATCGAAATGAAAAATCTTACCCTCAAACTGTGTTTTGAGTTCTAACGTCACTGTGACTCTTGTGTTGTGCATTGTGTTCAGTGCTATACAAGTGAAATTCGACTGCAGATCCTCCTTTTTTACTTCAGTTATATTCAAAGTGGTCTCTTCATAGTATTCTTGCTCACGTCCTTCAAAACTAACAGAGAGAGAAAGAGCTGGTACATTCATTTTAATGGCACAGTTTGCATAGAAGAAAGATTATTCTGTTTTATATACACTTACAAATGTGTTTCTTCATGAAATCTTGTAAAATCACAGTGTTTCGCTGGGATGTTATTCACATCCCATCTGACAGCAGATATTGGCTGTTTCTTAATCCCCAGGAGGGCCTGACATTTCAGAGACAAAGCAGTACCTAATCAAGACAGAGAGATGTAAACATTCCTTGATGAAAAATGTAATTTTATTTTTCTCATAACATCTTTTTCTACAATATGACTTGTGAGTTTTGTCTCAATGAATTCGACATATTTTTCTGAACTACTGCTGACAAAATGATGCATAGAAAAGACATAAAAAGAAAGAGTGAAATGAAATTTAACAAAAGGTCTAATAAGACACCAAGGATTATAAAAGGAATTATTTATATTTATTATGATGAAGGCAATGTACATTTTACTTGTGATGTGTAACACATGTAATTGGCTATTGAGAAACATGGAAATTATATGCTGGTTTACACACAAATGTACATAGACAATAAGACATTTAAATTTTAGTATTTATTATTTTGCATAAATCTTGTGTGCAGAATTTTATCCTGGATTTTATACAAGCTGGACAAAAGTAAAGTAAGCCTGTTCAAGCAAAATTAAAACAGGAAATTATTTATTATGTATTTGCCATTAGGAAATGTTTATTCCAAAGTAAGAGTCACTAAAATTGCACTAAAAGGTATAAATAAATAAAACATATTAAATTGTTTCCATGTAAATCTTCATCTAAGCAGGATTTTGATAAGATTATCAAATCTTATTATTAAATCATGAATTGGTATTTGAGAGCATGGAGAAATCCCTTCAGCTTTGCAAACGAGAGACAATGGTACCAGTACAACAAGTGGGTTCTATATGTAAAGTGAATTTGCTCCATGTAAGCAGTGCCAGATTACTTATTGTCCCAGACGGGTAGACAGAGCCCACAGTGCACTAGACCCTGACCACCTTACTAGCGAAAGCTTTTCCTGGAGAACAAATCTAATTCACATCTAACAATGTGACGAGACAACGGATGGAAAGAGAATAAAACAATGGTAATGCAAGTCAACATGGCAAGTCTCTGAGACACAGCACGTGGCACCTCAGAGAGGGCTGTGGGCCCCTGCTGTACTTGCTACCAGAGCAGTCCTGCTGTAGGACAGAAACAGTGGAGTGGTGATTGTGATCCCTTCTCCCACTGGCCCACCTTCACCCCACTTGCCCTGGGAGACAGGCATCCTGGATTACATATTTAGGTTTAGATGGGTTCAGTCACTTGCTGGAGAGGTCCACTTTTCTCCACTGACTATACAAAAATCCCTGACAACTCTCATTCCTACCAGAAGCACCTTGCTCTGATGGTGCAAGTTACCCAAGACAAATCTGAATCACTGAGAACATCTACAGGCCTAAACAAAATGGAGGTAGGGAGCAACCTCTACATAGCTGGTTCTCCAACCAGCTATTTCTAAGTTCACTCCTTGGTCCTGTCTTACAGCCCTCGCATTATCTTCCTGATAGATCAGACTGGTCTGATCCATGCTAGCCAACATAGACACAGGAGAAGCAATGTTCCTCAGACTCAGAAAGGCCAGTGACCAGCCCCTTGCTCTCCTTCACTCCTCAACAGAGACAGAACTACTGTATGTCTCCATGCAGGGACTGAAAGTAACATGGAGTAGGTCTAATTACAAGAATAGTCCATCCTTCCCTTTTAAGGGGTACCATCAAGCAGTTTCAAGGTATGTAGCTAAACTTCTCTTTGAAGTGGACAGAAGCTGTCACCCCTTCAGCTGAGACATAATGATTCACTGTGTGAGCAATCCTAGTCTATCCCAGGGAGAGTAGAAGAGGTTATTTAAATCCCCTTAAACTACACTTAATACCTGAAAAACCCATCAGTTATCCCTAACTTCACACAACGGTGCTACCAGTGCATTAAATCTCGCAAACATTATGATGCAAAAGTGTAATGAAAAATAAAAATCTTCTGGAAGATCCCTGTGTTTGCTAGACCATCACAAAATGTTAATTTAAAAACAATTTAAAGTTTGTACTCACCAAGCTCCACTTCTATTACTCCTTTATTCTTTGGAAATAAGATTTGAGGAGGTAGAGGTGAGTGTTTTACTTTAGAAATAAAAGAGGAAAAGAAAGCATATCTTAGAAAGTTGTGAAAATGCATTTTGTTAGATAACATTTGTAATCTGTACAGTTAATATTTTATGATCACAAAGACAATTTCAAACCAACAGTGTTTCACATGCCTGTTGAAATAATCTGGTTTTATTCCTATGACCAAATAAGTCCGGGGAGTATGTACATGTTAATAGTGTCAGTATTTTCTACCCATTTATTTCATTTTTAAGTTTGTACATAAAGAGCGAGGAAAAAATTTAGTTTCTGAAGTACTGTTTTAGCTGCTGAGTGGGGGAAAAAAGCAAATGCAATTTATAGGCTTTGTTTTTTCAGCTGCCTTTTTTGAAGAGATACAGAGATTCCTTCCAACATTGGAGAAATTACTCATATCCACTATAGGAAATAGCTAATATATACTTTTATGCAGTATCTGAACTGGTAACCCTCTAGCCCACAGCTGCCTGCCCATGTTTTTCTCTGTTTATCCCACCTCTACAGCTTGACAGCCGAGCACATTTGCTTATGAAGACTCTGTGCTGTATGTACATCTCTTGTTGCTGCACACAACTGCTTCCCTTTATATCAGTCTGCATGACATTGAGCATTCCTCATCATAGAATGGCAATCATAAAATCTTAAAGTTTGGAAAAGACCTCTTAGATCAAGTCCAACCATTAACCCAGCACTGCTGTGTTCACCAAGTGAACTCCAAGTGCCACATCCACCTGCCTTTCAGATAGTTCCAGGCGTGGTGATTCCATCACTTCCCTGGGCAGCCTATTCCAATGCCTGACTACCGTTTCAGTGAAGAAATTTTTCTTATATCCAATCTAAACCTCCCTTAGTACAGCTTTATGCCATTTCCTATAATTATCTTCTAGAAGGAACACTGTTTTTATTTTGACATATTTATTTTCCATTCCCACTAATAATTGCTATGGACATGTCCAAATTACATCCAGCCACTTGAATTAGGCATTCAGATACCTCAGAATTTTTTCTCTATGCTTTTTCCTTCTTTTCTTGGCCTTTACACTGTCTCAGACTTCCCACTGCAAATGCATTGCTTGCTATCATTTTCTTCATTAAATTTTTCTAACTCAAGGCACCTCTGTGAAACCCATATAACCTATATACCCTAAAAAATCTGCAGGATTCATTTATGCCTCTGCTTCCCAGACTGCCAGAAAAGCAGTTCTCTTTACCCATCCTAACTGTTTCTAATTTTCATTAACTGGATCTGATAAAATAGAAGTGTGGAGAGAGCCAGTAGCTCTACCTATCTGAATATGCTAAGTTCTTAGCTGCCAGCATTCAGAGGCAGAAGGTCCTCTGAATCAGTATGGATCTGGAAGGCAACAGGAATGTACATCATAATTCAGTATTATTAACAAAATGTAACAGCTCCACTTATCAGCATACTAATTTTAAGGTCTGATAAAACCTCAAAGAAGTTATCTTTAAATACTTTGAATTTAGCAAAAACTGTAGCAGGCATGAAGACCCAGCTCAGATTTCACATGTTATGTTGCAATCTCTTCTTTCTGCAAGGATTTCAAAATAATATCAGACTGGCTTCAAAATCCGCCTGGATGTAACACAGGCTTTTGTAAATTTGAATGCCCTTATGATAAACAAAACCCTGAAATTTTTATTATAACTCAGGCAGAACAGTATTCCTGGCCAATTAGAGAAGTTTTGATGGAAGTACATTCAAACAAAAAATTGTTTGGCAGAGAAGTGTAATGAAGACCAACATGGTGTTACACAGAAGAGGAGGAAAGGCACAAGACTGTCTAAGTTACTGTACTAGGTCTCAGCTCAAATCTGCATTTTGTCCAGCTCAGAATAATTAGAACAAACTCTGCTACTGAGTTGTGGGCACAGCAGCAAAAGACTACAAGCAAGGTTCCTATGCTCCAACTCTGCATTCTGCCCACAAGCTGGGTGCCTCTCCACAACAAATGAACATTACTTATTTTTGAAAAAAAAAAAAAACAAAACAAAAAAACCCCTTTTTTCTCCTTAATGTAAAAAAGGGGTTTCCTTTGCTCTAAGTTGACATTAGTCTTTTTATCTTAGCAAGCTGCAAAATGACTGCCTTACCCTCACTTATGAAAATTCTTGTTGCTGAGGCATTAAATACATTTCCTTTATAAGTATAAATAAATTGACAAGTATAATAACCATCATCTTCCCTTGTTGGGTTCTCAATATAAATGTATTTTCCTTCCTTGAAGTATCTCTGTCCCTGAACAGGTTTGCAGTCCTGGAAAAGAAAAAATTATGTGGTTGCAAATAGCTTTTCACAGTATTCTGATCTACACTGGCATTCTCGGGGGTTTATTTACCTTATACCACTGGATGATAGTAGCATTCTTATAGTTATCAATGGTAGGACAAACAATTTTTCCTCTTCCAGTGTCATTTGGGTAACGAATCTGACTTGGGAAACATATTGCTTGCTTGTATGAATGCACTTGCACACTCACGTTGAATGACTTTGTGCGATTTCTTGAACTTTAAAAATGGAATAAAGGTATGTCACATAGTATTTGTATACAGAATATATTAAATATTTTTTTTAAATGTAGTCTTGTTCTATAAACCTGTGTACGATTATTTTATTTCAGTCACAGATTGATTTTAACGATCTGTTATAAAAATAGCAATTGCAGGAAGAAAACTTATGAAAAGGTATGAAAAAAAAGGCATAATTTCCCTTAATAATAATTAGAAAATGTTAATAAAATGCCTATGTTTCTTGCTAGTCTTACTTACACCTTTCATTTTTCAATGTGGCACTTACAGATATGTTACACAAGTGTAGTTTCCAGAATCCTCTCTAGAAGTTGGCAGAAACCAAAGAAATCGTTCTAAGGAAAATATTCGTGATCCCTCCTCTTCTGCAGGAATTATTTTGTTAGTATCCATGTGATACCAGGTGACTTTCACAGATGAACTCCGTTTGGGACATTTTATAACTAAAGCCTCCCCTTCCATTGCATCAACTGTAAATGAACAAAAGATTAAAATTTAGATGAATTAAACCTTTGCCCCACTGAGACAGAGGATAACTTGACATTATTGGATCAGCAGGCTAGTCATGTCCCTCTCACTTCCTTAGGTTTTCAGAGATGACACATAGCAAGCTTATTCTCACGAAATTTTTTTCTTTCAATTTTGTTTACCTCGAGTTATGGAGCCATTTTTTTCAAAAAATAGTAATTCAACTGTGAGACTGAAACAAACAAACAAACAAATCCCTAGATTCTAAGGAGACACATGCAAAAAAAATGAAGATTTAATTGAAAAATAGAAAAATTTTATTGAAAAATTGAAAAATTATTTCTTAAAATGAACTTTTTATGTAAATCTTTGCCTGAAATACTGTTTTTATTCAAAAGAGGAATTAAAACACAAAGAAAAATGCTGGCTTTAAAGCTGCACTATGAAGTTAGCTTTCCTTATCTCAATATAATTAATAATTATTTATACAATAGGTAAGTGTTTTGTTCTGCCTTGTTAAGGCAGAAAAAGGAAATTATTTTTCTTCACAGAAGAAAAGAATCATAGATGGAGGAAGTCTATAGATTAGATCCTTAGGGGAAAAAAAACCCAACCAAACATAAAACATGAAAGAAGAGATTCTCTCTGAAGTTCATGAAAATGGGGGGAAAAAAATTAAAGAAATGTAACAGACTGAAAGGAAGAATTTGATGTGAAGGTGGGAAGGTGGAAAGTTGCCAGAAATAAATAAGAAACAAATAAGTTGTTTTGGACAATAAAACACACATGCTCACATATAAGAAAAAAAAGGAACAAGTTGGGAGTAAACCACTACATTCTTTAATAATTTTTTTAAATGCATATACTTCTACTTTTGAGTACTGAAACTGGTCCAGAGAAACTTGAATCTAGCAAATTTCACAAATATTTAAGTGCTCAGGTACCTGAACAGGGAACTGGCTACTGAAAAAAGAAATACTAATCTGAAAGTTGTATTGCATTTTGAGAAGAGAAAGATGAGGAAATGAGCATGGATGGTGATGGGATAAGGATGGAGATTGGCAGAGAAACTGCAGTAGATAAGGCAGCATGAAAATGAGAGTAAACAACCAAATTAGGTAACCAAAATAACCATCAAAAATGACACTGCAAGAGTGTCACAGAGAAAACACACCAAGTTTTAAAATTGTGATTTGCAGTTTGAGATAAACTCAGTAATTTTAGGTTTAAAAATAAAACTACCAATTTGGAAACAGCCTACACATTTCTACAGAACAAACCTCATCAGAAAGTATTTTTAAAATGTGACTTACATAGTTCAGTTGTCATGGAAACCGAGAGGAAGGTAGATAGGAAGATCAAATCTACGTACACCATCATATTTCTAAACCAGAAAGAAAAACATTGGTATCTTAGGGTATACTCTGACTGCATCAGTAATACTGTGGTGATGCGCACCAACTAACAGAAAATGGTATCGTGCAGTGATAAACTGTATCATGTGAGCTGCTCTGTATAGTGTATGTTTGTTTGTGTGTGTGTGTGTGTGTGTGTGTGTGTGTGTAGCAGTGGTTTTGCAGCTCTGAGATGTTCTTTATTCTATTATCACTGCAATAGCTGATGTTCCATTGAAACTTTGGTTATGACTTACTTTAGGAGTCGGGGAATTACTCTGCCGTGGTGGGCCTCAGGCAGAAACCTCTTTTCACATGGTTGCTTCTTTCTTTTTAAGGAAGCTAAATGTACATTGGCATTCTCTTCATAGTCAAGTGCAGAAAAATTATACCTCAACTTAGAAAAGAATCCTGGCTTTGAAAATATATACCCTGGCTTTGAATTAAGGTTGCATCCAATCAAGTACGTAGGTGCACAACATCCTTTTGGCTTTCTAAGCAAGTGGATGTGTTTTCACTGACAGCTCCTCTAGGTAAGTGTTTAGCAGTAAGAATAAAACCAGGAGAGTGCCATCAAAAATGCTAACCTGAAAGGGAACTGAAAAAATGGACTGGAAATGAAGGTAAAGGAACATATACTATACTCGTGGAACAGCAGTAGGGCAAATCCCATCTTTCACTGATGTTTTCATTTGTGTCTAACTGATATGGACCTTCTTGTAATTCCCATCTCATGGTATGGCTCCAGAATTGCACAGCAAACCACTTTATTAGCAAAACTGATCATTTGATCATGGACATTACACTGATCTAATCCAGGAATGTCTCAGGAGACAGCAGGCATGCAATCCAGCTATACTACATAGTTGTAAGCATTCTACTTACCATTAATAAACCCTTCCCTTGAATGCTGTCCTTCACTGCAGATCACAGAGTGGTGGGTTCTATTATCATGTATGAGTAAGAAGCACTCCCACGGTACTACAGATAATTGGCAAGCTTTCAGGAGAAATCAAGTTAGAAATTAAGTATAATTAATCTTGCAGAGAGTGACCACAAGAGGAGTAGTGAAAAACGGGCAAGAAATATAAGTACTGCCGTCACACTTATGGCAAGGAAATTTTATTTCAGTGCCAAAGATTTCCAAACTAAATAAAGATTGACAGACCTTATCTAAGCCTACATTTTTGCCAAGTCTGAAATTCACAACTGATTCAATTTTGAGCTTTCACAAATGTCACCAGCTTTTTATTGATTGGGAAAGTTTCTTCTTTTAGAAGGTTTATTAACATCCAGAGGGCTATTTTAAAACTGTGAAAAATAATAACGAAACTTGGTATTGGAAAAGTGTGAGAATTTCAGTGTAGGTATTGTGCAGGGATATTGACAAATCACAGGAAAGATAAGGTTTAGACCAAAAAAAGCAGAGTCTCAGCATTAATGTCACAGCAAGACTGATGCCCTTGTCTTTTACAGAAAGTGATTGAACAGCCAATGTGTGTGCAAGGAAATATTTGCTTTCATTAGAGCAGGACAAAAGCACCACATACAAGTGCAAGTCTATTGACTTCTTTAATTATCAGGTAATTTTGCTCCAGGTGAATAGACCTTTAGAAGATACTTTTGAACACAACAAACATCAGAAGTTTTACCCTGGAAGAAATTAACAAGAACAGGGTTCATGAGTGACCTGGGTCAGGACAAACCCTCAGGAGAGAAAGATATATTGCAAAACAGCACACAACAAAATTCACAGCATTATTTCTAACACTACCATGGACCAGAAACACCCTGAATATTCCTTCTCTGCTGAGAGCCTTTTCCCAGCAAGTGTTTGGTTCTGTTCCAGGAACTTATTTGCCCCCAACAAGGTATACCAGCAGTTATACTAACTCCCTACTATTTTTTTGGGCTATTTTGATTAAGCAACTGATACCTCAGCAAGATGACAAAAAGTAATACAATAGATTTTTTAAGGAAAATCAGTTTCATAGACTGCGTTTGGAGACTGTCTGAAATGAGGTCCTTTCTCAGTTGATATTTTATTTGTATGTGCCTATTATGCATTTAGCCACAAGTAATATCATTAGCAAAGATATTGGACAGTCCCTTATTGCCAATGCTATTGCAGGCCTAGAAATGGAAGGCTGGTGATTAAGAGAAAGTTGTGAGGAAATGTGCTTTCTCTGTTTTTGAGATACAGCTTTGTCCAGGAAGGGAGCCAATTGCTTGCTCTCAAAAACTTTCCTAACAAGTGCCAGAATGATTCAGGAGTAACAAATTTATAATTCTCCGTACTTGCTACCAGCCTGCACCAAAAAAGTGCAAAATATTTGAGGTAGGATTCTCCCCACCAAATTTGATGATTTCTTTATTGATTTTCCCTCCATTTTTAAGCTGCCTTGTACTGGCAGCAGTTTAAGTAAAGTTTAGGGTTTGTGTGTATGAATACAGATGATATATGAGGCTCTAATTAAAGAGAAATGTTCCCTGAAAATACAAAGAGAGCAGGCAATTAAAAGAACAATGTCATTCTGTTTGCATTTTCCAAAGTCAGCAGCAAACATCAAATTGCCTCAACACAAACTGAAGCAGAGGTTGCAGTTCTAGACAGAAAAATATCAAGAGAAGAACTAGTTTTATAGTGCCTTACAGCTTGTGGCATTACTCTGCACAAAGCAAAATTAAGGCACTCATGTCCATGATCATTAGGTCAAATGAAAACAGCATTCTGAGGCACAAAATATAGGCAGTAAGACACCTCATGTCCCACAGTCAAAAGAAGTTTTTGTAGCTTGAAGCACTGAGAAACAAAGGCCATAGTTTCTGGAAATAATCATGTACTTTCTGCTTCTGTAGTTTCATTTAGAACGTTTGTTTTATTACATTTGTCTAAAGTGAAACCTGGATAACATTTTTTTGGGTCCTCGGTATACCATAAATTTAGATTGCTAATATTCAGGGAGATAAAAGATAAGGAGACATTTTCCATAAATCTCTTTCTTCCTATAGCTCAGAATAAAAATTTCAGTGTGGTGCTGGAAAAGCACTAGATCCAAAATTTGGGATACCTGAGTATGTAAAAACCTAGCTCCTAATCATTAAATATCAAAGGAAGGTGAAAGAACTGGGAACCCTCTATGTATGTTGAGAAGCAGTACTCTATAGGGTTTAACTCATTGTTTCTTCAGAGGCAACTGTCTTAGTAATATATTTCTGATTTTCTCTCCAAAATTTGTTTTTGGCAACAGAATATTTATAGTACTGTTTATAAAAGTGACAAACATTATAAAGGCACCATATTTTGCATGCTAACAAAACCGGGAAATGTTATTGCAATTTCTACTCCAAAAAGCTTAACAGACTTTACAATGTAAAGATACCATGAAAGAGAAGTTGTGTGAGATTTGTTTACTAAGACATAGAACACATACACCTTTTGAAAATGATTTTCATTCTTTTATCAAACCAGAAAATCCATTCTGACTGAAAATGGGCTGTTAAAATAGCAACAGTAAAACCGAACTTTTTCCAGAACTAGCATTCACAAGAGTTAAGAACAACACTAGTTACGGATGTAAGTGTAAAATTTAGGAATTTCAGTATCAAAATATGGAAATGTTAGAATTGATATACACAGTATTCATAAAAATACTTTGAAGAAAGAAAGTGCATAAATATATTAACCTCTGATAAATCAATTGCTCAGTAAAGATTTTCTGTGTCTCTCACTTATTAGTAAAGCTATATGCCAGAAAATTGAGGTCAAATTCATTTCTAAATACACTTCATTGTAAGGTAAATATTTTTGTTGGTCACAACATTGTCTATCATGGAAGCATATCCACTCTTTTAATCTAGTATTATTTCTTGACATAAAGAAGCACATAAGTGAACTGAAATAAACTTTCTTATCAAATTCTTCAATTATTTTTGGTTAAATGATAATATAAAAGTTTGACCTACCATCTGGAAAATTCAGAAAGCAGAGAAGTGGCTTGTTCTCTGTGGCTGGGTCTTTTGCACTGATTTCTCTGCTTAGCTTGTACCAGATATTACTGGGAACTCTTTATCTGCCTTGTGCAGTTCCTATCTGCAAAATACACTGCTTAAGCCTGAGACACCTCCCACTGAAGAGAGCAGAACATGCAAATTACTGTAGTAATTTATCTTAAATATCTATCAGAGGTGGTATCTCATAGTTCCAATCAATCAGATAGCTTTTATCACTAGCATAGTTTTTCCATTAATTGCAAATTATTCCATTTTAGTACCATTATATTGCAATAAATATGCTGGCTGGGGAGGACAGAGGGGACACTGATGGCAGAGGCTACTTTGAAACAGATTCTGCTTGAAAACAAGTGACAGCCTTGCCTGGTCTAGTCAGGTGAAAGCTCCCTGAGAACACCTCTAAAAGTCCCTGATGAATCAGGAATAGTTTTTATTGAAGGAAATTGCTTCACTGAAACTAAACTGAACAAAGAAGGTGCTGAGAAACCAGTTTTCTGCATCATCAGCTAAATTAAGTCTTGGAGGGAAAGATTTTATTCTATGGTCATTCAAACTCGTTTTTGTCCCCTGGCAGAGTTCTGAATACCATTTGTCCCTTCCAGTGTTCCTGGGACTCTACTGTCAGCATGCAGCAACTCCACATCAATACACAAGATGTACCAATCCTACTCCAGTACGCAAAAATCTTATTGATGTCATAACCTTGCTCTCCCCAGTTCTTGGTACAGCACTTCCTTTGAAGTGGTCTGGGGGTTGCGCTTCTCATATGACACGGAAAATGCAGAAGAGATTAAAAAAAAAAACCACCTGCAACAAAGAAATCTCACAATGCTTTGGTCAGCCAGTCAGGGGCAGATCAGACCCCTATTTTGAAAAATTCACAAACTACTCCTTGCTCAGGCTTGTAAAGTTTCATCAACATCGAGGTCTTCCTTATTTGTGATGTGAGAGACTTGTAAAAAATGCCTGGAGTAACCATCTGCGTTCAGTGGTAGGTTCAACATCCTCTAACCACGATGTGTCAGAGGTTACTCTGGGGAAAAGTTAAATATAATTCAGGTAAAGCTAACTTCCATTGCCTGGACACAGAATAGGTTAATAATAATAATAATGGCCAGTCTTCGCGAGCGAAGATCCGGGGAAGGTCTTTACACCTTCCAGCCTGCGCATTGGATTTTTTTAGGTGAGACACAGTGTGCGCGGAACTGAGTCCACAGAATAGGTTATTCTGTCATAAAGTCCATATCCTGAAACTTAGATCAGAGATTCTTATAGTGTTGCTGCACACCTCAGAAGACCCCTTCATCCTGTAGTTTGCTACCCATGCCCAGGTTGTTCCTAGATCATGGTGCAGGCGGGAATTGAGCTCCTGGCTAAAGAGGATAGTTGCCAGCTGAGCAAAAGCCATTCTGCAGCTTTCATAAGAAACTACAATCAGTGTTGAACGCCTTGTAACTTTTGGCCCATCTTTAAAAAAAAATCCTACTGATAAGTATATGGAAAAGTGTGATTACAGAAATACCTCAAGAGATTTCTTTGAGGAGTTAGATGCATCGTGCTCCATTGGCAGCCTGTATGCATAGCACTTCAGCAAGCAAGGGAATCATCTGTTCTCAAAGCAAAGAGGTCAAGAAGTAATGTGTTTAAACTGAAGCAGGGAATAGTTAGGAGAGACAGCAGAAAAAATCTTTTGACAGGAAAGGTATTGAAGCACTGGAAGAATTGCCTGGGAACCTAGTAGACTTGGTATTAGAGAAAAATTTACTATTGATATCACAAGTGCTGTAGCTGACCCCACAAGCCCTTACCAGCAGTAGGAGTCAATGGCCCAGAAATTCAGCTGTCCATGATTCAATGACTGGTTTTGGTGCAGGATGACTGTATGAATTTAACTCAATTGTGTTGGCAAAATTATTCCTAGGCTGTGAAAAGCATGCACGCCAAAGCAAGATACCAAAAGTGAAAACCCAAATCAAAGGAAGTTATTGACATCTTAATACTCAGGAGTTCAAGCATGACAGAGGAAAAATAATAACACAGAAAAAGATGAAGTCCTGAAATAAAAGGCAGTGATAGGGAACAGCAATTCAGCAACTTCAGGGTTCACTCTGCTTCTAGAAGCAGTGTTTAGTTTAGCAGCAGATTAGTCCTACTTGCCTAATACCTAACTAACTCTACTTGGCAGGAAATACTTGCTGTGTAAAATTTTTTCTCCCTGTTTGCAGACTGTCAGTACACACAGTAGGGAACATCTGGACACAAGTGACCCCGTCAGGAAAGGTTTTGCTCTCTACTTTTATTGAGGCCAACCCAGGGAGCACTGGTAGCAAATGGTGGGATGGCAGGGGAAGATGTTGTTGGGTGTGTCCCCATCTGTGTTACATCTAATGTTTTTTAGCTGTTGGGGATCCACCCTACTGAGGTTGCAGTGTCCTTCCTGTTCCTCTGTGTCATGGTGCCTTTCTTGAGGCTAACAAAGGCATCTTGTGCTTTGTGTAAAAGAGAAATCAGAAAGATTTTTCAAGGTTTATAATATTGTAATGGGGATGGACTTCTCCCAAGGTAAAAGTTGCCCCTGGTCTTTATTGTTGATCATGCAGTCCTATTACCACCCACATTGTGATAAGAAGAATGGGCTGGTCCCCAAATAGCTCTGCTGGTTCCTTTCATTGAGAAGTTTGAGACAATTATCCCAAGAAGACACTGTTGAAGGGATACATGTCTAACCAGAGTGTACTGGGTTTCTGTGGCAAAACTTGGGAGGATAAAAAGGTGACTTCTGTGAGAAGACACCATGAGTTGCTCCCATGTTGAACAGAGCCAGTCCCAGCCAGTTCCAAAACAGACTCACTGCTGGCAAAAGCTGAGCCCATCAGCAACATTGGTAGCACTTCTGAGATAACATATTTAAGAAAGGGTAAAAAGTGCTGCACAGCAACTGTGAGAGAAGACTGAGACTACCCTGCAGAGACCATGGTCAGTGAAGAATCAGGAGGAGAAGGTGCTTCAGGCACTGGAGCAGAGATCCCCATGCAGCCCATGGAGAAAATCATGATGACACAGTTTGCCCTCCTGCAGCCTGTGGAGGACAGCAGTGGAGCAGAGATCTGCCTGCAGCCCATGGACGATGCCACACTGGAGCAGGTGGATGTGCTCTGATGGAAGCTGTAGTCTATAGAGAGTCCATGCTGGAGCAGGCTCCTGGCTGGAACTGAGGACACTGAAAGGAGCCCATGCAGGAGCAGGTGTTCTGGAAAGTCCTGTGGTCCGTGGTGGACCCACACTGGAGTAGTCTGTTCCTAAAGGCTGTAGCCCACGAAAGTACCCACACTGGAGCTGTTTGTGAAGAACTGGAGCCCATGTGAAGAGCCCACATTAAGTTTGTGAAGGACTGTCTCCTGAGAGAGGGACCCCCCCATTGCAGCAGGTGAAGAGTGTGAGGACGAAGAAGAAACAGAAACAAAATGTTATGAACTGACTGGAACCCCCATTCCTCATCTCCCTGTGCCACTCGGGAGAAGGAGGTAGAAGAGTTGGCAATGAGCCTGGGAAGAAGGGAGGGGTAGAGAGAAGGTGGGATTAGTTTTGGTTTATTTCTTACTCTGTTATTAATTGGCAATAAATTAATTTCCCCAAGTTGAGACTGATTTGCTCTTGACATTAATTAGGAAGTGATGTCCCTGTCCTTATCTCAACCTATGGACTTTAATGGTATTTCCTCCTCCTGTTCTGTTGAGGGTTAATAGAGCAGCTCAGTGCGGCCTTGGTAGCCAGTCAAGGTAAACTGGCATGGCAGGCTCTCACACAACAGTGAGGACATGCATGTGGACAGGAAAGGATTAATAAGCTTTAAAGTATTAGAAAGCCATTGGTATTTTTACCATACTCATCTCTCTCCTTCATTCCACCAAACCAGAGATATCAAATCTCTTATAAGGTTTTCAAATCCACTGTAGTTGCCAGAGAGTGTATCAAAGTTCAGAGGATGCAAAATAGAGGAGACAGAATCTTGAAGGAAACAACTGGCTAAAGTAACAAGAATTATATCTGCCCTTTTTTATGTGGATGACACGTATTTCCTTTGAGTTGCACATTCATACATTACTTGGTCACCATATATATTGTTTGGTCACTAGCAGTATAGGAAAGATCTTAATAATGATAGCTATGCCTGTCAGACCAAGGACAATATTTAAACAAAAAACATAACATAGTTAATAAAGCCTATGTATCTTAAAACCAATTTCCCTTCATAAAGAACTTTTCAATTTCTCTGCTCCATGTCTTGCCCCAAAAGGAAAGTAGCTGCACCGCCATCCCACAGAGTCTGGATACAGCCAGCCAGAATATATAAAAATAACAGCATCTGTTCTGAATGTCTGAATGTCACCAGGCCACCAGCAGGATCCCCAAGGGGAGACCACAAAGCCCACCAGGGAGAGGATTGGTGCAGCACATCTGTTGCTCTTATGGAAATTAAAATACTTCACTGAGTCTTCAGGATCTTCCATTCCCACAGATGGTCCTGTCCTTGGATGCCAGAATAGTTTACAATACAAAGGTGAGAGCGAGTCTGAGCAGGCAATTATGTTTGGGCAAGAAACCTGTACAAGGTTTTCCCACAAAAGAAACACCAAACAAACCAGCCCTCCTGTACCCAAATAACTTCACAGCAGAGACAAGATGTGTGTGAGTGAAATCTTCCAAATTTTAAGTTAAAGGCCATTAGATGCACAGGAAGTCATTGCTTGATGAAACAGCATAGACTAATTCCAGAAGTCTCAGGTCCTTATAGCCAATCTTCCCCTCGGAGTGCACAGGAAGCTAATTCCCTCCCATGCAGTGCCCACTCTATGTTTCATTACTGTGGAAACAATTATTCAGCACATCATTGTTGTTCTTATCTGACCTCTTCCTTGAGAATAAAGAGGTTTTTTCTACAGAATTTCTTAGGAAGAAATGTCTACAAATACATGGCATTCTGGAAATCATAACTCAGATGCCTAAGAAAAAATTCT